GCTCCACTGATTTAATGAGCGCAAATTACCAACATTTACACTCAAAGCAGGGGAATTCACTTCAAAATTCCCTTCATGCAAAAACCACCCACGATTTCGAAACACACAAGCTTGAACTCATTTCCCAGAGTGGACTGTTTAAGCAAATTTCTCTTAAACCGACATCAGAAAAATAAAATACAAACGATGTAGGCTTTTTTGGTTCAAAAATGAGCAAGACTTTTGTATATTTGCGACCCAAACCAAATAATCCAATTCATGACATTCCAATGCAGTCAAAACAAATAAGTGTGCCCTTGTTTTTCTTTGAAATCATCGTCCTGAATGATCAGTCCAAACCCGGCAACATGCCTCACTACATTCCAACTCCCAAGAATGAAACCACACACAGATATCCATGCCGAGGAGGCCTCCGTGCTCCATAGGGGCCCTTATTCTTTCCATTCATTTTTCCCATAAGATTAAACCTCTTTCTGAGAAATGCGTCCATTCTGATTAGATGAGGCCAGAAAAGAGCTTCCCAGAGATCAAAGGCCGTCCTTGACCCCTTGTGCCCTTGTCATTGTTATTTTGATGCATGTTCACTCGCTTGACTGTGACCGTATCACTGCCATCAGGGCTGCTTAATATCCTGTGCTGAACCAAAGGAAATTGACAGCCGTACAGACTTCTTTTTTTCTGTAGGTATTGAAGTGTGAGCACCAAAAAAATCCATCCGAGATCATTAAAACAGGTAATATAGACATCCCGTTTAGATGAGCAGCAGGATAAAAATCACAAGAAATCTGAGACAACAGATATCATGCTTAGTGATTTTGTACCTTCTTTCATTCATTGCATATTGAACATGTATGCTTATACATATATATATAACATCTTTAGAATAATATAAAACATTCAAAAAGTCTCTAGATTTACAAATCAAGCATTAATTACAGCATAATAGCCTACTTTTTAAAAATAACACCTTGCAGTTGTTTAATTTGACTGTTTGAAAATATAATGACACGTGTATGGCAGTTGTAATAAATACAAATACATACAATAATATACAGAAATGCTCATGCGCACCTTTATCAATACTGCCATTTGATTGAGAGCACATCATTTTCAGTCTGGTTACGGTAACAGACCATGTCATGAAAGGGAATTGCTCCTCAGACACTATAGCACCATGGTGTCTTTGGACAAAATACAGGTTAGCAATGATACAGTGTTGTGAAAAAGTAAGTACACCCCCTGAAAAGTATCTACTGGATTGGGATTTTGTTGATTTAATTTGATTTAATTTGATTAATTTTTTATCACAAAAAAAGAAAGTCTGATGTTAATTTAATAACTCTGTTTAATGTCGAATTAGATATTAATCTGAAACTGTGGTACTTTGTCAAATATAAAATTAGAAGTCAGTGGTTCATACGTACTGTATATTTATACGCGTATACAGACAACATCAAATAAAAATGAACATGTTTTAAATATATATATATATATTTATTATCAGGGCTTGACATTAACACCCCCCAACCCTACAAATTCAAGTAGATTTCAGCGGTGGCAGGTTAGACAGACTCTCCCACTAGCCCCTTTGGCTGGTTGAAAATAATTTTCCCTGATAATAATTCTTAAAAGCAGGGTTCGACAATAAGAATGGTCTAATATGCATGCAAAGGTGATCTTAGAATTGAGAAGCAACACGAAAGACAAAAATAATTGTGTTATTTTTGAAAGCAAGTGAATACCGAATGAGAGGATGATCAGCTGAGGTGATGAGCGCGACTGCTTAAAACATGTGCGCGCTCCCGTTTCCTTGCGTGAAGCAACTGTGTCTAGAAACAACTGATGTGAACGGGTCTTTTTCAAATAGAATAGACAAAATGTGATGAACATGCACCCACTGTCTTGCTGCTTTCAAGAGCTCCAGATTTGTCTTTTTGTAAGCAGCACCAGTTGCTTTCGCTGTAACTGTTCTTTGAACAGAATATTTATAAGTCTAATGTTAAGCGTTTGTGTGTGTGATCATCCTTTCATTATCACACGGTATGTTTTTTTTTTATACCTGCTTTCTTTTGCGTTAATATGCTTTAATCATCATTGTGTTCAATAACATTGCTTTAATGGGAGATTAACTCTCCATTTATGTGTAGTTAACTGGTGATCTGAGAGGCCTTTAGCCAGGACAAATCACTTTGCATATGTTTGGTTCAATAAAAATTATACAGCTATATTTTGCTTGTTTTGACACATTTAAAATTTGTGACTAAGAAATAATTAATTGTTAATGTTCGGTGTGGTCAGAGATAATTTTGGTAAATCCTTCATTCTGAGCTCTGAAAATTATGTGAAATAAAAACTAACTAATACTATGAAACCATGACACATTTGCTCATTATTAAAAACAACAATGAAATGAATGAGGAGGCATGTGGACATAACGCAAAGCCAAAATCGAGTAATTTTAGCATGTCAAAGTCACATTCATGTGAATAAAATATAGTTTCCCAACAATAATATTGTGGCCAGTGAAAACGGCAAGGGATTAAAGTGGCTGTTGATCAAAAAAGTTAATGTCAAGCCCTGATTATTTTATTTATATAAATAAATATATATAATTATTATTATTTTTAAGAGTGCATGTTATAAGATTAACAGCAAACTTTCATTTTGGTGGGAACTGTCCCTTTAAAATTCCAACTTTAATTTATTATTTTTTAATGCACATTAAATAACAATTTTAACCATATTGTGTATGGTGGAAAACATTTTTTTCAACACTGTATGTGTCTCTTAAATTTGGTCATCATCTACTGCCATATCCATGAGATATTAGAGAACAAATTAAAGGATTAGTTTACCCAAAACTAAAAAATATGTTATCAGTTACTCACTCCCATGTTATTACAATTCCCCAGAGACCTTCATTCAGCCTCAGAACAACATTAAAATTGGAGTTTAGCTTAAATCTAATGCTGTGTTCACACCAGACACAGAAGATGCGTTAAGCGTGAGTGATTTACATGTTAAGTACATGCAAAAACGCGAATCGATCCGATACGCGTGAATGAGGGGGCGCAAATTATGCGTTTTGCGCGAATGGCTCGAGTTGGAAAATCTGAACTTCAGCGGACATTCGTGCCGCATTAACCAATCAGGAGTTTCTCTTGCAGGGGCGTGATTATGACATAGCGCCTGTTGTTGGTGTCCCGGGGTAAAATTCTCCTACCGACACCAGACAACTGTTCATTAAACTGGGCTCGGCTCAGTTGGAAGCACTGCTGAAAGCTTCCATTATCTAGGTTAAGTTTCTGGAGGAGTTGATGAGCTCACAGAGCTGTGCACCCCAGAATGGACCAAGTGGACTCACGCACGGCTTCAAATGAATCGACACTGTTTTTCAGTCTTCTTAAAACACATAAACGCAGCTATTCTCTCTCTATAAAATTCATGTTCGCTATTTAGCAATGAACCTAGAATCACCGCGCAGACAGAAGGCCACCCATGACACGCTAATGAAGCAGATTTGATGCGTGTATGAAGTAAACTCAAAATGTTCACGTGTCTATTTACCCAGCGAATACAAGATTTTACCACGCGTACCGCATCTGTTGTGAATACAGCATAAAAGCTCCATCACCCTCCATAGACAGCAACTGTCCTGAGATGTTCCAAGTCCAGACCAAAAACATTTAATGTGAATTCAGTGGTTCAGTTGTAATCATATGCTCCAAATCCAGATCCACATCATTTTTGTGCATAAAAAAAAAAGCTGTAAATATAATTGAAGTATGTAAATAAAGTATGACAAATTTGCCATAAGAGTCCGCAAAGCAAACAAGCAAGCACACAGTAGTATTGCCCATAGTAAATATGCTTCCTGATCTGATGTGGAAAACATTGGTAAAGTTGTATTTACAGATTTTTACAGATTTACAAAGTGTTTTTGGACCTTTGCATAAATAAAGTCGAACCACTGAAGTGGAATGTGTTGACAGTTTTATGAACATCTACAGCTGGCTATACAGGATGAAAGAGCTCTAGGATTTCATCTAAAATATCTTCATTAGTGTAGTGAAGATGAACGAAAGTCTCAGGGGGTTGAAATGACATAAAGCTGAGTAATAAATAACAGAATTTTAATTTCTGGCTGCGCTAACACTTTAAGCAATACATTTAAGGATGTTAATATTTTGTATCCACATCCACTAATATAAAGTAGAAAGAACGGTTATGGGGCTCTTCATTGAGAATGAGGTAGACACAAGTAACTGGCCAACAAAACAAACTTAAAAAAAAAAACATAAACAAAAACAAAAAAAAAACTAGATTTATACACAAAACAAAAGTAATAATACTGATTTTGAAAAAAGAATACAAAAGGCTATCAGAACAAATCAACAGACATAAAAATGAACGAAAGCTACATTTGATTTACGTCACAATTACTTTTGTAGTTACTTCAGTCAGTTACCTTAAATATACAAAAATATAGCAACTATAAACAGATTTTCACAAAGTCTCCCTTGTACTGAAAAAGCACCATCATAAAGTGGAAAAAAAGGTCAATGGCTAGCTGAGTTTCACGTGAGGTATGGTTAAAAAATCAATATTAAAGAGCAACAGAAACAAAAATAAAACATTATACCAAAGTAAACTGCCTGCATTGTAAATACTAAATACAACTGTACTATATTTTGAACACAAACCACCACAAATACCGTCACAATCCTTAGAATGAATGTAAAGTACAGCTGCATTGGGAAAAAAAAACAAGTCGACCAAAGAGATGCTCACTTTTTCAGTTAGGAAATAAAACTTTCAATCAATATTAAACTGCATGTTTTGGTAGGTCTTTAAGTGCAACCTCAAAGCAGCAAAAGATCAAACCGTTAAAGAGTTTCCATTTGTTTTCTTGGATATTTGTTGGGTGTAAAGAAACCTCAGCCTGTTGTGAGAATGAGAACTTATGAAGGGGAAAAGGGTTAATGTAGTTATGAGCGTACCAAGCTCCATTGGTCTGTGCTCCAGTGAGGGTTAATAGAACAGGACTGAGTATTGCACTGTTCTCGGTCGGGTGGTTTGTCAAGAATTTCACAGCTCAGATCGTTAAAACGCTCCCCGTTGGGACGCTGACAGGCGACCAGCCGGGTCTTTATCCCTCCTCCACAGGATTTTGAACACTGGGGAGGCAGAAACAGAGCATGAGTGAACGTCTTGCTTCATTAACAGATGTAATCTTTGTTCATTTGCATTTCCTAAAGAAAGCCTGGACCACATGCCAGAATGTCATAATGTCAGAGTGTTTTGCTGAGTGGAGACTATTGCAAAGCTTAGTTTGGACCGATTTTGGTTGATTCTATGCTGTCAAATCTGACACAGAACAATTGAAATAAAAAAGCAAAACATGATTAAACTGTGTCATTTGACCTTAGTCTATACTATTTGCAAAGTATGTGGAAGAAGTTTTGAAAAGAAGTCATTGGTGTTTAGTTATACTTTCTCATTTAAATGTGATATTCTAAATATAGAATTTAAATATTTAAAAAAATATTCTAACCATATGTAAAAAGAAAATATGTGGGTCACAATTTACTGGAAGGTTTGATTATTCATTCAATCATTTTCTTTTTGGTTTAGTCCCTTTATTAATCTGAGTGTTGTCACAGCGTAATGAACCGGCAACTTATCCAGCACGTTTTTACGCAGCATATGCAATTCCAGCCACAACCCATCTCTGGGAAACATTCACACATACTCATTCATTCATACACACACTCATACATTACGGACAATTTAGCCTACCCAATTCACTTATACCGTATGTCTTTGGACTGTGGGGGAAACTGGAGCACCCGGAGGAAACCCACGCGAACGCAGGGAGAACATGCAAACTCCACACAGAAACGCCAACTGAGCCGAGCCGAGGCTCCAACAAGCGACCCAGCGACCTTATTGCTTTGAGGTGACAGCACTACCTACTGCGCCACTGCGTCGCCAGGTTTGATTATGTTAATGTACACTGTACAAAATTGTTGTAAAAACTACAGTATTACTGGGAATTTTGGTTGCCAGTAATACTGTAAAATTTACAAGTGTGCTGTAAATTAACAATTACAATTGTGCTGTAAAACTAATTTACAGTTTACATTGTGCTTTTAAATTTTGCCAGTAAAAATGTAAAAATTGCCAATCATACTGTAAAATTTACAAGCACATTATATATTAATAATTACAGTTGGGCTGTAAAACTAGAGCAAAACTGTAATTGTTTATTTCCATTGCAGTTTTAATATTTACAGTATTACTTGCAACTAAAATTGACAATAATACTGTAAATTTTACAGCATTTTTTACAGTGTATTTACTAAACAGAACCAATAATGAACAACACTCATACAGCATTTATAAAGTTCACCTAAACAATCAACATTTACCAATGTGATATGAGTTATTGCAGTGAGTTAACATGAACTGACAATGAATGACTTTATTTGCATGAACTCTCTTAATAAAAGATGAATAAATACTGTAATAAATGTACATGTAAAATAATGCTCATTGTTTGTTCATTTTGGTGAATACATGAACTAAAATTAACAAATACAATCTCATTTTAAAGTATTACTCATAATTTCTATCTATTTCAAATTTTATAATAATTTATATTAATACAATATTCATTATTTAAAATGTAATACATATTATGTAACATTAGTTTGTAAAGAAAAAACTAATGAAATATCATTTTGAATATCAATTTAAAATATAAAAAAAAACATGAACACACATTTAAATTATATTTCTTAAAAATTCTAATAAAAAATATGAATTAACAATGATTTTACTATTAAAACTAACTAAAATGTCTGTCATTTTCAGCATCATTACTTCAGTCCAATGTCCCATGATCTTACAGAAATCATTGTAACATGCTGATTTTCTGCTCAATTCTTTTCCAGCATATGTTTTACGCAGCGGATGCCCTTCCAGCCACAACCCACACTAGGAAACACCCGCACTTATACACTACGGCCAATTTAGGTTGTTCAATTCACCTATAGCGCATGTCTTTGGACTGTGGGGGAAACCGGAGCACCCGGAGGAAACCCACGTGAACACCGGGAGAACATGCAAACTCCATACAGAAATGCTAAATGACCCAGCCGAGGCTCGAACCATTGACCTTCTTGCTGTGAGGGGATCGTGCTACCCACTGTGCCACCATGACACCCGAACACAACATTGTAATCAGTAATGTATATTGTATGTATAGTCACAGTCACCTCACTCCAGCTGCCGTAGAACCACTGCGGGCAGGAGCCAGACTCACAAGAGCGCTGTTCAATGGGCTGAATGCTCTCATCACAGCTGATGGCCGGATATCCGTTCTCATCCTGACACACCACCACGCGCCTCTGGAAGCCTCCGGCACAGGTACTCGAACACTGACATAAGAGAAACAAACAACAGCTTCATAATCACAGAAAAGCCACACACATTCAGACTGGACCAATTTCACATCCCATTAGCTTTAACGGAAAATATACGTCATTGGAGGAACACTGATCCGCACTGAAGACTTTGATGAAAAAGTTTGAGAATCAGGGGTATTTCCCTCAATCAATTCAGAAATCCTCTAATATACTCGAGAAACAATTTTTATCCTTTTTAATGATCACATTCTTTGATGAGCTCAAAACAAATGCATTAGAATTGTAAGCTTGTTTAATATAATAAATGGTTTTACACAGTGCTTAATTTGTCAATTGCGAGGTCTCGGAACAGATCGAGGTAACTGATCCGGCATGTTACTAGTGAAGAGAGAGGTGTCGTGGACGAAAGTGAAGAGCGGGGTGGTGGTGTCGGCACTGGTTTTACAGTGAACTTTGATCAATTTAACACATCCTTGCTTAATAAAAGTATATATATATATATTTTTTTTTTTTTTACAGTCAACAGAATAAACCATTGTTAAACAATAACTTGCCCAAACCTTTAAATGTCACTTTAAGCAGTATAGTAGTGTCTTGAAAAATATCTTGTCAAAAATTATTTACTGTCATCATGGCAAAGATAAAATAAATCAGTTATTTGATATTAGATATTAAAACTATTATGTTTAGAAATGTGTTGAAAAGAAGGGGGAGGGGGGGGGGGCTAATAATTCTGACTTTAACTGTAAATACAATATTTACTAGTACTGATACTATTTACTATAAAACTATATCCACTTAAGAATCTTTGTCAAGTTCTTGATTTATCTGGTTAAATCAGTTTAATGTGTTTGAAAACATCTCATTGATTAAATTGATTGATTATGTTGCTTATGGGATTGCATTTTTCAGTTCATTAAAAAATCTGAATGATTAATAATGAGAACAATAATCCTTCAGTTCCCAATGATTACATTACTTAGTTATAAATTATGTATAGCTATATAAAATGTATTGCTTATATAATATAAGTCAGAATTTATCATAATTATTTTTACTGTGTGGGTTTCCTCCGGTTGCTCCGGTTCCCCCCTCACTTCAAAGACATGTGCTGTAGGGGAATTGAATAAACTAAATCGGCTGTAGAGTATGAATGTGTGTGTACAAGAAGGCCATCCACTGCGTAAATATGCTGGAATAGTTGGCAGTTCATTCAGCTGGCAACCCCTGATAAATAAAGGGACTAAGCCGAAGGAAAAGTGAATGAATGAAAACTCTACAATATAATTGAACTGTAAAGTTATCAATGAAGTTATTTTTAATACTATAATAAATAAAGAAATAATTTTATATTGTTTTTTCTTTACTTTCAAACGTTAAAACAGCTTTTTTTGGGGGTGTAAATCTACTATTTTGAACTTCTGCTTTTAAACAATACAACTTTTTGTTGACAGCTGATTCATAAACTATTCTCATTACAAACCTGGGAAGATGTCATGTGAAATATTTTAATGTGAACTCATTTTTGTACATATTACATACATATTTTTGTACTTATTACAGAAGTACACTGTAGCTCTAGATATTCCATAATCTCATAAAACCATATTACATTGTCAGGCACTGTTCAAAGTAATAATATAAAAGAAGTTACCAGCCAGGTAAGGATTCTTACTCACATTTGGGGCTTGGTGAGTGTTATTTTTAGTCCCTGGCTATAAAGGAAGCACTTTTCAAAAGATCTAAAAATACCTATTTTAAGACAAAGCGGAAGAGCTTCCCAAATGCTGCTCAATATTTAGCTGTACTTTGAATCCTACGCTATTTAAAGCACTGATACCACAAAGGAAGCGGCAGCATTTATCAGGAAGAGGAAATGATGCTGTCTGGATGATTTGGAGAGTTCGTGTGCTGATGACATCATGACCTCAGATGTCATAATGTTCCTCAGATTGCTTCTAGTATTTGAATTACGTCAAATTCCATGCACATCTAGAGATATAATCAATTTGAGATCATTTTCTGAAGTACTTACCGCCCCCCATGGTCCCGTCCTCCACTGCTGAGCCTGGAGTCTGCCAGCTCTGTTGCGGTCAGTTCGTCCTGGAAGAGCTGTTTTTTTCCGAAAATCGGGGTTGGGTGAAAAGCCCCCGTGGTCGCTGGAGCGGGACGGACACTGGGGCATGGCACACTCCTGCTCTGCCGCGGGTTTGTCATCTAGGTCACACTCACTCAGTTCCACAACCTGATCGCTGATGTTCATACACACTACTTGCCGTGTAGTCGTACCCTGACCACAGGATACAGAGCACTGCAAACATAAACACACACTCATGATTACACAGAAAACACAGTAAATCACATACGTAATAAGATAATAGCCTACCACACGTATAGTTAAACATTTTTGCAATGAGAGTTTTAGAGGCTTTCAAATCTCTTCTGCTCATTAAGGAACATTTTACATATTGCGTCCGTTATTTCCAAAGGAGGCACGCGTCATGTTGGTAGCGATGCGTAAACGATGTGATGTGCACGCTTTCGGACAATTTAGCCTACCCAATTCACCTGAACCGCATGTCTTTGGACTGTGGGGGAAACCGGAGCACCCGGAGGAAACCCACGCGAATGCAGGGAAACTCCACACAGAAACGCCAACTGAGCCGAGGCTTGAACCAGCGACCCAGCGACCTTATTGCTGTGAGGAGACAGCACTACCTACTGCGCCCCTGCTTCGCCCCTACTGTCATCATGGCAAAGATAAAATAAATCAGTTATTAGAAATGAGTAACTAAAACTATTATGTTTAGAAATGTGTTAAAAAAAATCTGCTCTCCGTTAAACAGAAATTGGGGAAAAAATAAACAGGGAGTCAAATAATTCAGAGGGGCTAATAATTCTGACTTCAACCGTATATTTATATAATTTTTTTGTTTTATTTTTGTCAGCGTGACTACTTGGTGAAAATTAGACAAATGATCTAGGAGGAGTTCTTTAAAACATTCAAATTAGCAGATTTAATTCATGACAGAAATGATGTCATATGGTGCAATCCAATCATCTTGAGCTAAGGAATCAAATCAGGAAAAAAGTAGAGTAATTGTCCTTTTAGTTGAATTAGCTTTACTTTTTAGTTAAGTGCAACACTAGTTATGTAATTTGGATTTCCTGATTGTAAACCATTAGAAAGCAAAATGCCACTGACTAAAGCAATCCAGCTTCTCTTCATAATGCTTGTCTTCCTGTTTAAATGTGAACATTATGCAGACCCAATCCATCTGCACACAAGATCCACACTAAATGAACTCTCATCAGTTTCCAATTACAACTAAGCTCTAAACAGCCGAATGGGAGAATGATCAAGGTCATTGGTGGATGATGTTAGGCTGCAGAACAGCTGTGAATGAAAAAACCTGCAGTGTTGAACGAATGCTGGCTAACATAGTGGCACATTAACATTGAACATATAAATTAATAAATATAATTGAGTTCAAATAACTGAGGCACACATAATGTCATTTCAGCTTAAAAAATGAACAGACATTTTAGGATTTTGAAAAATGCTAATTAAGAATAATGTTTAAATATATGTGAGGTTCTGCAATACCTCTAAATCACAAATCAAAGAAATGCATTTGCAACACTGACCTTGTGAACAATGTTGCACCAACATAAAATAATAAAAACAAGTATATAAAAAAGAAAATAATGTGATAAAAAATTTAAAAATAAAATAAAAAAGTTAGGCTAATAATAAAGTACAATAAAAACAGTTAGAAATGGTTTTAAAAAGTTAATCAGAATAAAAATAAATAAATAATTAATAAATAAATAAAGTAAAATACTCAATTTTGGATAATAAAATAAAAGCGGGGTGATGCGGTGGCGCAGTAGGTAGTGCTGTCGCGTCACAGCAAGAAGGTCGCTGGTTCGAGCCTCGGCTGACTCAGTTGGCATTTCTGTGTGCCAGTTTGTATGTTCTCCCCAAATTCGTGTGGGTTTCCTCCGGGTGCTCTGGTTTCCTCCACGGTCCATGACATGTGGTACAGGTAAATTGGGTAGGCTAAATTGTCGGTAGTGTATGAGTGTGAATAAGTGTGTCAGTATTTTTTCCAGAGATGGGTTGCGGCTAGAAAGGCATCTGCTACGTAAAACATAAGCTGGATATGTTGGCCGTTCATTCCGTTGTGATGACTCCAGAATAATATAAGGACTAAGCCGAAAAGAAAATGAATGAATGAAAATAAAAGTGAAATATAAATAGCAAAATCAAATCAAACATAAAATTCTATAAATTATAAATTATAAAATATTGAAATAAAAGAAAAAAATATTTATTCAAATAATGTTGTAAAAAAATACAAATCAGGCAAATAAAATCAATGTATTATACATTACAAATATAAAAAAATTATATATTTTCAAATTATTTCAACAATAAAAATACAATAAATCTAATTGTAAATGCATAACAGAAATTTTATTTTGTATTTTAATAATTTAAATTTATTAATAGATTTTTTTCAACTATTACACTGTAAAACCCAACAGTCAACTTTATTAAATGAAATGAGTGTAGTTAACTCAAAATTGACTGAAAGTTAATTCTACTCATTTGAAAAGAGTTTTGAACTCAGTGTTGAAGGTAATCAGTTAATTAAATACCCCATTACGTCAACTTAAATGGATTAAGTTCACAGTACTCATATAGATTACTTTTTAACTCAAATGGTTTGTTTCTCTCGGTTTCCTCAAACGGTTTGAGTTGCCTAGCTTATTGGGTTTTACAGTACTCAGTTGGTTTGAGTTCTCTTCATTTATTGGGATTTACTGTGCTCAAATTGCTTCGTTTACTCAAATGGATTAAGTTCCCAGTACTCATTAGGATTAGTTTTTGAACTCAAATGGTTTGTTACAATTGGTTTCCTCAAATGGTTTGAGTTACCTTAACTTATTGGGTTTTACAGTATATAAATGACACACCATATTTAACATCTACTGCTCTGAATGTAAGAAAAACACATTATAAATAAAATGATTTGTGTTTTCATAAAGGCTAAAATAGAATGAAGTGTATTTTATTTACCGCAGTCCATTCCAGAACCTTCCACTGTCCACACGCCACTATGGAGCAAACCTCACTAGCAGGAGGTTTTGGCAGATGAGCACAGGCTGATTCCTCTGCTACTCCACCCTGCTGATCACGGCAACTTACATAACGCATCCGAGTGCCTTTTCCACAGGTGGCGCTGCACTATAATAAACAACAACCATTTTACAATTACTAGCATAATAATAGCAATACAGCTCAAAAGTCTGGAATCAGTAAGGTTTTCAAATGTTTATATAAAAAAGGAATTCTGCCCTCCAAGTCTGCATTTACATGATCAACAAATACGAAATATTATCAATAACTAATTACATGTAATTTAAAAGTGTATTTACTCCTGTGATTTAATGCTGAATTGTCTTTGGTGTCACATGAACCTCCAGAAGCCATTCTAATACATTCATCTGCAGTAACAGTTATTATTATTATTATTATTATTATTATTATTATTATTATTATTATCAGTGTTGAAAATTGTTGGACTGCTTCATAATTTTGTGGAAACTGTGTACAGTACCATACAAAAGTAACAAGCATACATTACATTCGTGAAAGACTTAATGCCAAACAAATTAAATTTATAATCCTTAAATCTAATTTATTTCCCTAAAATCATGAAACAGGAATCATATTTTTAACCAATGAACAAGAATTTTAATTATTGGTTGAGTATAAATAATAATTGATAATAAAACAACCTCACATCAGCTTAATATGATATAGCATATAGTTGATTTTTAAAGAGTCATGAGTAATGATGCCAAAAATTCAGCTTTGTATTGCAGAAATAAATACAATTTTAAAGTACATTTAATAAGTAGAGAGATTTTTTTTAATTGGAATAACATTTCAGAAATTTACAAATAAATGCAGCCTTTTTGAGCAAAATTATTCTTAAAATAATAAAAAAAAAAAAAGAGTATATCTATAGTAATTGATCTGCATCAGACCATCAGGCCTTTACCTGTGTCCATGATCCAAAGCGCCACTGCGTTTTATGGCCAGGATGTGGCATCACTTTGGGCTCTGGGGCCACGGGATGAGTCACGGGGCACTGAGAGAGTTCACAGTCCTGTGGAAGAGAGGAAGTGGAGAAGGACAAGCACTTTTCAGTAATGAAGATCCGTGACTCTAGGGGTGAGGCCGGTAGGAGCCAGCGTGCCTGATTTATGCTTGACTGGCTGGAATCACTTCTTCTGGGTCACTGCAGCAGGATTTAAAACCAGGGGGCCTCCTGCTTTCTCCTTCTGTCTGCCGTATCCCTCCTTTTAGTTTCTGAATTTCTGACAGTCCTGCCTACCTACACTTACAGAGAGTCTGCTTCCGGAAGTAAAAGCTACATTTATTTTCTATAGAGCAAAACTTATTTTTTAACAGAAAACTTTCAACTTTGTTGTCAGCTCTGAGATTACATAAGCTCTTGGTGAATCTAAATGTTTGCATTAAAGGGATAGTTGAAAATGAATATCACCCCATCATTTATTTTCCTTCACGTGGTTTGAAACCTTTATGAGTTTCTTCTGTTGAAGAAAGAAGTTCAAATAGGTTTTGAAGAAGTGACGGCTCAGTAAATGACGGATGAGTAAATTTTGGGTGAACTATGCCTTTTGTTCAACTTATTTTTAAGCCCTAACCCCAGCAGCGTTTGGGGTAATGCATTACAAGTAACACGAGTGATAAAATAATATTACTTTTCTAAGTAACGTAATGCATTACTTAAAAAAAACTTAAGTAGTAATTTTTGAGTAACTTTTTGAAAAATGTAACAAGACTTGCTTTTTAGTGTAATTAACTAGCTTTAAAAAATAAATTTTGCTAAATTAAAATGAACATGGTCATGTTAAACCACATACTGAATGAGAGAATTTGCTCCATGTGGGAACAGTCCGAAATGAAGATGGCAGGCTAGAGTTTAGGATTTCTGCAGTGGAAGTATTACTTTGAATTCATAGAAGAAAAGCAAAAGGGTATTGTCTCAATAGACATGTATTGTACATAACTGAAAATACAAAAAGTACAAAAGAAGCAAACGCAATGCTTTAAACTTACTTTAATCTGTATAAACAGCACGTAGAGCTCTGGGGTCAGGAAGTTCTCCGAAGATAACATGATGCTAAATGATCATTTTTAAAGGTTTTTTTTTTTATTATTAAATGAAGGTTATACATTGCGTTGTTAATTGCACACAAAAAGAACAAGAAAAAAACCCTGCAAGTTCTGAATGAGATCGAGTCTTGGCCAGGGAATAAAAAGTAATGCAAAAGTAACTCAAAAGTATCGTATCTATAGGTGGGCATAGATCAATTTTTTATCTAGATTGATCTCTGAATTAACCTACATTAATTTAGATTAAAACGGCTCATTTGAATTTTGTCGAAGGCATTAAGAATATGTGTGCTACTCGAATAATATGTCTTTGAGAACGGGTTTCTCAAGCCAAATGGTGCATTAGACCAGGGGCTCATCTCCTGTTTCCAAAATGCATCACAAAGTGCTTGAGTAACGCTTCTACTCTGATAATTGGTGATGAAAATAAATGATGTTCAATAAGATGTACTTGTGTTTACTAACTGTTTTTTCAGTTAAACATGAATTTTTAACTGTAGTACTACATAACAGCTCAAAACAGTGATTTTTGATTACCTTAATCCGACTAAAGTCAAAACTAAACTAAACAGAAATGGAATTAAGACGTGGAGTATGCATATATTATGGCAATCAAACTATTACCGTCATGTACAACGTTTTTTTTTTTCTTTACATTTGGCGTGTGTTTTTAAATTCCATAACACTCTCACCAGTCCTTACTCCTTATTTGCATCTAATACCCCAGTTTGTCACAGCGGCATGAATGAAATGTTCATGAATTAAAGTAAATCTGCCAGACTGCAGTTAAAGTCAGGCATCCTGCTGATTTGATTCAGAAGGGCACTTAAATATCGCTAAAATATCAAGATGAAAGTCATCAAACCTTGCGTAGAACAGACCCAGCTCCTAAACCAACTTTGAGAATAGATTAACGGCGATATTTTTTTATCGCGCATTAAGAGTCTAGCGTTAAAGCAACACAATAACGGCCCACCACTAATCGTAACGCATTGCTTTCTATAAAAAGTAACTAACACAACTGGTTACATTTATGGGGAGTAACTCAAAATTGTAATGCATAACTTTTATAAGTAACTTTCCTAAACACTAAACCCCAGTACTGATTATCATTAAACACACACTAGAGCTTATTTAGAGCTTATAACTTATTTTATCCACTCCACCTACAGTGTATACTGAACGTCTTTGGGTTGAAGGAGAAACTGGAAAACTCCACACAGAAAGGCATTCTGGTCCAGATGGATCTCATACCAGGAACCTTCTTGTTGTGAGAAAACCATGCTAACCACTGAGCCACAAGATTTTCCAACTTTAAAAAGCTGGTAGCCATTGACCACTGACTATGATTTCAACTAAAAATCTTCTTCAGTGTTGTGCTGAAAAAATAAAGTCACCTACATCTTAAAGGGCACCTATTTTAGCCCTTTTTTAAGATATAAGATAATTCTTTTTTGTCTCCAGAATGTGTCTGTAAAGTTTCAGCTCAAAACATCCATCAAATTATTTCTTATACTTTTCAAAACATTGCATTTTCTGCTCTGAACACAATGTAGCTGTTTTTGTTGCCTGTGCCTAATGTGTCTCAATCTCCGGCTGTGTCAGATAAACAGCACAGTGACAGACATAAAGGCTGCAGATCTCACGTAACATTTGTGAGAAATACTACAGTAAGAACTTTCCCAATGATTATTTGATGTATTTGTTGTGCAGTAAATGCAAGCCTTTCTGCAACGATGAGTCACACAATGTTGTTACAAAGTTCACACACACACTAGCTAATTTCCTGAGTTACTTTCCTCACTACTTCACACATTACACCGAAAAACCTCTGTTCCCCCTGCTAACCACCTACACACACTCAAATACCTCTTTCCACAACGTCTACATTCCTGTCTTGGCCTAAACCACACGCATTGTAGATAAACAAACATAAACACACACACACACACACACAGCGTGCACGTTTAACTTTGCCCTGTTTTTGCATGGCAAATGTGACACATTAATATCCACTGCTGTATGGAAAATGCAAAATAAACCAGATTTAACATTCACAAACCAGGATTGCAGCGTCTTCTTTTGTACTGACATGCGGCAGTCGTGATGAATCACAGTGATTTTACAGTCTTTACTTTAATTCAAAAATACACTGTTTTAAAAATGTTTCAAACTTGTAAAACTCATTCTTAATCACATTTTATGATGACTGATGATCACAGAGAGCTGAACAGATCTTTTAATCCTAGTTGCTTTGTGCACATCATGTCTTGTTAATTATACACTTTACTACAGAGCCATGTTAATATGTGGCTGTCAATCAATTCGGTGGGCGGGGAAACCGCACTCCTACATCACGTTGCGGTGGGCCTTAAAAATGGCAGGGATTTGGATCCTATTTTAACGTCAGGAAATTTTAAAAAAGCGTGAGCACACTATACTTCACACAGTTCTGTCCAAACAGCTTACAAAAGATGATTTTCATCATAGATGCACTTTAAAAGGTTTTTAACAAGGTACAAAAAAAATCTTCATTTTTAGGGCATTTCAATTAAACTATATTCAGAATAAAGTTACTGAATCTATTGGGGCATTCAATCGGGCAGCTCCATCATAAACTTAAAGATTACATTTCATTTAAGAGAAACCAAAGCAGCATGTGTCACATGCACATTACAAATATTCGCACGCCTCATATTCCACATTTCACCCAAATGTTTTGCTTCCTTTTCATTACATTAAATAAATTCCAGCAAATTTCAGATGAAAAAAACAGCAACTTGTAATCACAAAAACACTGTAGCAACTGATTTACTGCATACCTATGCTCATCCCTTCTGCTTACTTTTTATCTGGGTAATTTCATCTTGAATCAAAATTTCATGTGAATTGATTTACTTTGGTAAGTAGCTGTGTAATATGAAGGATACTATGCAGTCAGACCTGGTATTATCCCAAAATAAACTCCTTCAGGGTGAAACAAGATCCTTCTAGTTTGTGTTGTGGTCCTGATCATCCTGTCAGAGCTTATAGTGTGATAATCCATCTGACTGTACTATCTACCTTACATATTAAATAATTCCCTCTCCTCTCAGTCTCTTATAGTGTATATTACAGTGTTTTATATGAATTTGTTCCTGGGATTCTATCAACCTGGATGGCTCGGTGGTGGTGGGAAAAAGGGCTTTTTTCTTTCATCTCCTAAGAGCCTTGTGAAAATGAAGCTCTATAAAACCAATGCCTGAGGAAAGTTCATAAAATACTCTGTGAAATGCAGCATTTAGCCACTCTGGCTCTACAGCACAATTAGGCAGGGGAAGGGAGGAGAATGTAATTTTGCAGGTATGTGCAGATTTTGAAAGTAGATAAATTTGGGATTCACATGACTGCAAATTAACTTATATAAGCATTTAATATGATGCTATAGAGGACATATAAACTTGGAATGATTCAGGAGGCATAGATAGTCAAAACAGATATAGTGAGAGTATTTAAACTATCATAAAACATTTTTTTAGAGATAACTCTATATAATGGGTGGCAATGTGGCTTAGCAGTCAGCACTGTTGCCTCACAGCAAGAAAGTTTCTGGTTTAAGTCCCAGTTGGCCTTTCTGTGTGGAGTTTGCATGTTCTCCCCTTGTCCACATGGGTGTACTCTGGTTTCCCCCACAGTCCAAAGACATGCATAATAAGTGAATTGGGTAAACGTAGTATGAATGCGGGTGTGAGTGTTTATCTGTGTTTCCTATTATTGGGTTATGGCTGGAAGGGGATTCGCTGTGTAAACATATGCTGAAATAGTTGGCGGTTCATTCCGCTGTGGCGACCCCTGATAAATAAGGAACTAAGCTGAAGGAAAAATGAATGAATGAACTTCATATAATTTGTGTTATATTTGAAAAATAAGTTTAAGGAGATAGAAGATGTACCCAACATTTTAGAATAACTCTAATTTTTGACTAATGAGTTAAAATTAACGTATTTAAAACACTAGTATCACTACAATGATTGTAAAAAATATAGTAATTATCCTAATAAAATATGGCTTTTAAAGATTAGTTAGTTGCCATTATTTTTTCATTTCAATTCCTTTAATTTAATTCCTTGACAATTCCAGACATTACAAGACCGTGGGAAACCATTTAAGAGTATTGAGTGTGTGTGTGTGTGTGTGTGTGTGTGTGTGTGTGTGTGTGTGTGTGTGTGTGTGTGTGTGTGTGTGTGTGTGTGTGTGTGTGTGTGTGTGTGTGTGTGTAGACCCATGGTTTTCCATCAGACAAGGCCTTATTGAGCGCAGGTGATAAATATTCTGGGTGGGAAACTTCCTTCCTGCCTTTCAGGCTGCACCTGAACCCACTTTCTTTTTTCTTTTCCACTTTCTCATTCCGAGATGATGTAAAATAACTTACATAATAATAAATAATACTTGCACATACCAAATATCAAAGTTAATTAAAAGTTCAAAAACACTTGAAAAACAATCATTACTGCTTGTCACATTTAAAACATTGAGTTTTTTCTTTTGCATCAGGTTTAGATGAGCTCCTGTACAGGTCTGCCAATCAATGTTTATTTGTAGCACAATAAAGAATTCAATGAAATCTGCTCTTAGTATAAAGTTTTTCCAGAAGATTCATTTGAAATCATTTTTATATTTATTTAAAGGGCACGTGAAATACTTTGAAATGTGCATTTTTTATTCAATGTTTGACATAATATCAAATTAAAATTGAGAAGGGAAGTTGGGATATAGAATAGTTCCTCTATATGGAATAGTTTGTTTTTATCACAACTTTGCCTATAAAAATGGTTCAGATCAAGCGCATCAAATGAAAAGCAAATGAGAAGCATCTTGAAGGGGGCGGGACATGTCAGATACTAGAGAGCATTTGACTGGTCAAGATTTGATGAGAAACTCAAGTATGAGGTGACATGAATAAAAGTTGTTTATCCATTTAGGCGAAAGTGACAAATTGCAGGCTTTGTGTGTTTATAACAATTTTATATTTTCCTAAATGTCAATTTTGACACTGTTTTGGAGTGTTTTAAACTAATAGACTGAAACTAACATCTAATTTATTATTATTATTATTTTCACTGGACTATTAATTTTCTTTTAAAGCATCCAAGTTTTGGATGGACAGATTTTCAAAGGAAGAATATAAATCTTAGATTTAATAAAAAAATATCCTCCTTTATCTTATGAAGATAAGACCTCTGGGTATGGAACTAAACAAGTGTGAGAAAATGATGACAAGATTTTCATCTCTGAGTGAACTAATCCTTTAAATGTGGTCTGATTTCAATTAATAAAAGCTTATTTTGACCTGAGCCCTGGCTTTTTCGACTTTAATTCCACAAAGAAATTTGGAAGAGTAGCTGTACTTTATTCTGATTCACACTTTAATAGTATCCAATAGTCATAGTTCCTTCTGTGCGTTCATTAGTGTGAGAGAAATTAACAAGAGTCAATATAAAAAAGAGAGATCAATGCTCTTACCTGAGTGTCTGTTGGACGAGTTGCTGCATTACATTCAGTGTCATCCATAACAGAGCCATATGAGCCAACCACACACTTCACAGCTCTCATCTGATATCCCGGTCCGCATGTGGTGGTACACTACATACACGAATAAAGAAATCAGGTCAGTTAGGGACAGTGTCTTATTTTATCGTACATCTCAAGGCATATGCTTGGTCCTGAAGCATAAATTGAAACTGAAGCTCAGTCCATTGATGTGATAAGCACTCGCTTGGGCAACCTGGGACATGGGCCAGAAATTTGTCCACATTTCTCCATTCCTTTATCTCTTTTCCTCATCGCTGACTTGACGGCAACAAGGTCAAGCTTGTGTGGCAGCTAGAATGCATATTGAATGCTTCAGTAAAGCACCTCAAACATGCCTTTATCTAGATTGCTTAATCTATGCTAAGAGTGATGTCTAATCTCTATCATACTTTAGGACTTAAAGATAGTTTGCCTACACAAATGCTACAAATTCGTATTACGCACTTGGGAGATCTCTGGAGAAACGCTTTGCTTGTCTGAAAACAGCCATAAGCTCAAGTGGACAGAAAACACATTAGTCATGAGTGGGTGATATTCAGAGCTTTAAAAAAAAGATTTTTTATTACTTTATTTTAAAGTTTTTAATTTTTTTTAATTTTTTTTATTTTTCAGAGAAAGTCTTATTTGTTTTATTTCAGCTAGAATAAAAGAAGTTTTCATTTTTTTAAAACACCATTTTAAGGTCAAAATTTTAGCCCTTTTAAGATAATTTTATTTTCTATAGTCTACAGAACAAACCATTATTATACAATAACTTGCCTCATTACCCTAACCTGCTAGTTAACCTAATTAACCTAGTTAAGCATTTAAATGTCACTTTAAGCTGTATAGAAGTGTCTTGAAAAATATCTAGTCAAATATTATTTACTGTCATCATGACAAAGATAAAATAAAATCAGTAATTAGAAATGAGTTAGTTATTAAAACTATTATGTTTCTAAAAGTGCTGAAATAATCTTCTCTCTGTTAAACAGAAATTGGGGATAAAATAAACAGGGGGGGTAATAATTCAGGGGGGCTAATAATTATGACTTCAACTATATATTTATACTTTATACTGTATATATATATATAAATACAGAACAATCTGTCCAACCATCTTAATGCCAGATATCATGTCAGTTCTGGAATGAGGGGGGTAAAGGTGATTTCCAATTGTTAGGCACTAATCTTTTAGCCACCACCCTGCCTTGCATTAAAGACTCTTGCATTGTTTGAGGGAGAGGATATTTTCTAGACAGCCTAAGATGGTAAGTTTGGCATCTGGTCGAAGAGGTCTGATTTAAGCCTTGGAGTACCAGTCAAATATGTTTGTGCAGAAATGCTAAGGAGATTTTGATTTATATGGTTTAACTCTTTATATTTGGGAGCTGATTACTGATATATAAGCAGGTCTTGACAAATGTTGACATTTTTTCTTAATTATAAAAAACATTAATTTTGATATATTCAGAATTCAAAATTATTAGCCCCCTTTTATTTTTTTCCCCCAATTTTTGTTTAACGGAGAGAAGATTTTATTTCAACACATTTTTAAACATAATAGTTTTAATAACTCATCTCTAATAACTGATTTATTTTATCTCTGCCATGATGACAGTAAATAATATTTGACTAGATATTTTCAAGACACTTCTATACAGCTTAAAGTGACATTTAGGGTGCTTTCACACCTACACTTTTGTTTTCGGAACGTGTCTCGATTGCCCAGTTAGCGCGGTTCGTTTGGCATATGTGAACAGGGCAATCGCGCTCTGTTCCGCGCCAAAGTAATCGCTCCGAGATCGCTTGAATGAGGTGGTCTCGGCTCGATTGAAATGAACCCTGGAGCGGTTCGATTAATAATAATTAATAGGTTAATTAGGCTAACTAGGCAGGTTAGGGTAATTAGGCAAATTGTAACAATACTTCACAATATCCCTTTTTACAGGATTTAATCCGGTATGAAGAATTATTATGTTCCACCTTTATCAAAGTTTGTCCCACCTCAGCCATTTGACAGAAATCAGACAGGCAGTCACGGCTGTCTCTGGCTGTATCTATTTAAAAATATTTAATGTTAGCCTTTTTTTAATAAGATAATATTTTAATTGACAACATAATGAGAGTAATGAAAAATATGTTTTTTTTTTCAAATAGCAAGAATGTCATGATCAGAATACCATCTCATTTTGAGCCAGGGAAAACCCTGTATCAAAAAAATTCAGCCTTTTAAAAACAATATATTATTGCCATTTTGTCTATATGCAGTATTGCACATTTACACCAAAAAACATGCAGTATTGCACATTTACACCATTTAGTTGAATAATTCTAATAATGCCCTGTCTGAATAATCAATTTAAAATCTCTGTAAATACCTGCAAACATCTTTCAGTTAGGAATCTACTTTTAATTATGGATGAACTTGAATTTTTGAAGTCAATTTACTTTTATGGAAGTGACAATTCACAGACATCTTAGTTATTTATTTTTATTTTTGCTTATTTGCTCCACATTTCCATGAAATTATCATGTATTATTCTGTCAACTCCCCAACCTCATTTCATTTTTGTGGTCATTGTCCTCCCACACTGCAGCTGTCAAAATCTGTTTTTATTATCTGTCAGTTATGAATGCACCATCATCATAATACACTCGAATTTTCATTTTCCCAGCATAACCATCAAATATAATGCATATAAGTTCTGACATACCTAAACATTACATGAACCAAAATAATGCAAAATAAACACCAAAATAAAAGTTGTTCCTCTCACCTGTCCCCAGGGTCCCACCTGCCAAGACGCACATTCTTGCTGTTGGCAGGCCTGCACCGACTCGGGTTTGGATGAGTCACAGAAACGGACATCCAAACGCTCCTCTCCAAACTGACACCAAGTCTGACGGTGTTTATAGCCTTTGCCACATGTTACCAAACACTGCCAGATAAAACCAGAACGAATGCATTAGTAAGGCTGCTTGACTACTAAAAAAAACCATAATATGGCCAATGGTAAAAATCATTATTTAACATAATTAAGAAACTGTGCATCCAATTTCAGTTTATTCAATTCACCTATACTTCATGTCTTTGGACTGTAGGAGAAATTGGAGCACCCAGATGAATCCTACGTCAACACGGGGAGAACATGCAAACTCCACACAGAAATGCCAACTGGCCTAGCCGGGTCTCAAACCAGCATCCTTCTAGACAGTGCTAACCACTGAGCCACGGTGCCACCCTCTTGTTGTTGTTTTCAAAAGCAAACAGAAGAGAAATATGCATTTGCTTATAGTTTTACCTCGGTTTTACATTGCTTTTACCTATTTTGTGGACTCGTGCTATCCCAAACTTAAAACCGAGAGCTCTATTACAAGTACAATACTTTACAAAGTGAGCTACAGAGCAAACTAACAACAAAGGAAAAGTTGTACACTTTGGAGATCATTAGATAAGGCAAACAAATTGGATTACAAGTCAATAATATGTCTCTCTAAATATCATTATTGTGAATAGGAACAAACATTGTTGGCGCCATATGGCACATAGCGATTCTATCTAGGAACTGCCATCAAACATATGTAGAAGTATGTTTTTGTGGTTGCATAAAAGGCTGAAACACGTATTTCCAATGAGCCTGCTATGCATATGAACACTGAAATCACCATATTCAAAATTCCAAAATCACCATAACCATCTGGATATGATAGTAGGTGAATGTTTGCGGTTGTCAATGAATGGGATACTACATTTTATTCAAATAAAAACAGTTATATGTCATTTATGATTCCTATTTCTTCTGACAACAAAGCACCTGAATATGACAAGCTAAGAAGCTAACTTCACAAAAAGGAAAGGGGAAATTTCCAATTGAATCTGACCTATTATGGGAATAACTAAGGTTCAAGTTAATCATTTAAATATTTTTGAGTCATTATTTAACACCCCTAAACATGTGTCTAATCCTATTTTGCACCATTGTGCAAATCCTAATCCATTGTTGTATATTAAACCACATCTGATAATTATTTACTCTGCATATGCATGTTTTTGTAAACGATGATATAATCTCGGTGTAAACTACAGAATGTGATTATGCGAAAATGGTGAGCTCAAGTGCATGTACATTATATGTTCAGACTATTGTCAATCCACAAGTACAGGACAACCGAATAAACAATGCAGGATGATATACGCACAGATGACCAGTGTTTCTTTACAAACCATCGCAAACTACTGGCCTGGCATTCATGATAGAGTTTTAAGATCTTTTCGAGGATGTTTAAGTCATGCAAGCACAATCTTAGACAACATTATCTATATTTGATGATAAGTTTTGCGAGACATACACCATCAGATGTTTACCTCAGACCAGTCTCCAGTTTTCCACTGAGGACACAGGAACTCATTACAGGGCTGAGCTGTGAGCTTTTCTTGTGGGTTGCACTTGCTATCGTCATCTCTTTCGTCAGACTTTCCACATATTGCATTCCTGCGACGTGTTCCTCCTCCACAGCTCCTGGAACACTAGATAACCAAGATAAATAGCTCATTGTAAGTTATGTCATGTATATACATTAACGAGGTCTAACATAGGCTGATTTGAGCACCTCAGACCAGGAGGAGTACTCCCATCCACCAGGGTTGCAGTCTCCATGGCAGACCTCCTTGTCATTGGGTTTATGTTGGCTGCTGCAGTACCGCTCATCCACCTTCTGGGTTTTCCCATCCAATCTGCTCTGTTTGGTGCAGTAAATATCCAAAGACCGGTAGCCCACACCACATGCCGCTGTGCACTCACTTTTGCGAGCGATGTGCCACCTAAAAATTTCAGAAATAAACTTATAAGTGATGGTTTTAGTTCAGAGATATGAAAATTTCTCCATCAATATATGCAATGTATTCCGGTCGATTTAAACAAAATAGATTTATTAAGAAGATATATTTATTAAATTGTATTAATGATCACCAAACATATATTTAGAAATTGAAAGACTATCTTTAATTAAATTCAAGCAAAATATTATTTTGCTTCTCTTGATTTTTCCTCTTTTTAAAATTTGTATTTAATAATTTTCTATAACATATAAATTTGGGTGTAGTTGTTTTGGACCATTATTGTAAGTTATTTTGTAAGAAAGCTCCAGATTTGGCTTCAGTACTGACTAATCTAATGTACACAAATATAATATTGTATAGCTTCCTATCAAAAATATTAATTCAAAAGATAGATTTGAGAGGGGTGTACTTATATATGCTGAGCACTTTATTATACATTCTTGAAAGTATGTATATCTATATATATATATTATATTTTAATGTACTTTAAAATGTAAATATGTTTTTTCAGATGGATTTTCAGCAGTCACTGCTCCAGTCTCCAGTGTCAATTGATCTTCTGAAGTCACTTTAGGGCCTTGTTCAGACTATTCAGATAGAGTTATTGGTTTATGATTTAAAACACATTTGGATTTTAGCAGATTTTAACAGATGTGTCTCACTGTAGATTCTTTGGCTGCTACATCAAAACTAGTGGAAATGCCAAAAGAATTAATACACAAATGATGCAAAACCAGCAATGACTATAGCATGAAGCATTGCAATATGTAAATATATTTCAGCTTCATGCTGAACTTTTTCTTTTTACAAAACATAAATTATAATAATTCACAAAAGCATTCTGTTTGGGTTGACAGCGCTTTTTTGCTAAAGTGAGCATGTAAAATCTGATTTGAAAGCTTTCTTAACAGAGCCTTATATTTGGAATTGGTGCTCCAGAAACATTTCTTGTAAATCATTGTAGAGGGATGCTTATAATTTTTGTGAAGCTTATAAATCTTTATAACATCATAAATATACAATTGGACTTTATTGTAATGTGCTAATGAACTTGCTATTGATGTGCTAATGTTGTTCAATAAGAAAAAAAACGAACACAATGTTTGGATGTTATTTATACTTTTTACATTAACTGATCAACAGCTGGGTGGCACAGTAGGTAGTGATGTCACCTCACAGCAAGTAGGTCACTGGTTCGAGCCTCGGCTGGGTCAGTTGACATTTCTGTGTGGAGTTTGCATGTTCTCCCATGTTTGCGTGGGTTTCCTCCAGATGCTTTGGTTTCCCCCACAGTCCAAAGACATGTGCTATAGGTGAATTGGGTAAGCTAAATTATTCATAGTGTATGTGTGTGAATGAGTGTGGGTGGGTGTTTCCTAGTGATGGGTTGCGGCTGGAAGGGCATCCGCTGCATAAAACGTGTGCTGGATAAGTTGGCGGTTCATTCCACTATGGTGACCCTTGATTAATAAATAGACTAAGCCGAAAAAAAATCACTTAATGAATGGACTTTATTTTAATGTGCTATTATTGTGCTATTATTGTTCAATAAGTAAAAAAAAAAAAACAATCTTACGAACACCAAATGTTTGGATGTTTTTTTATATATTTTTTTTCAATTAACTGATCAACAGTTAGACTTTCTAAGCACAGCAAATTTGCAAGAGAGCACAATTTCATAACAGCATCCTTGCAAGTGAAATGTACTGTTTGTGATTCCAGTGACAACTTAGAAAAGGGAGACAAAATTTCCATAATGACCACTACAATCTCCCAAGAGCAGCTAAATTAACTTGCAAACAAGCAAAGATGATAATAATCAAGTGCGGGTTATCATCTACGAACAACACTTGTGCAAAATCGGTTAAAGGTGCTTTCTCATTTGGTTCAATTGCCTGGATTGAACTTGAGTTCTGTTGGGTTTGTTTATATTAGCCAAATGAACTGAACTCTGACTCCAAATGAACCCAGGTGCTGTTGTGAAAAGAACTCCCAGGCATGCTTTTTATGTTTAAATTATGACTTAAATACTAGTAAATTGACTCCAGCACACTTAGTAAAACACATTGCTTGATTTATTTAAACACTCCCCTCCCATAACTTTGTATACAAAAGGCTCACTCCTACAAATGCATCTGCAATAAGCTCAGCTACAAAGAATAACTATATACATATCTTTTCATCACAAATTGCTCACTGTGTCTTTAGCAAATCCTCAAGTTTATGAATGCCAAAAGAGGGTTTGTGTTGGCTCAAGCTGTTAGTAAAGCTAATGCATGTGGAAATGTACCCGAGTTCACAGTCTGTGTTGCATGACTCAGTGATCGCAGCTGGTTTAGGTAAACCGTGGCACCGCTGATCAGAAACCACCACTCGATCCGATTCACGATTGCACAAGATCTTCTTCTTGCGCTCTCCTAAAATGCACATTACATACAGCACAAGACATACACAAGTTCAAACACATGTTTGTGATCTAGAAAAGTAAGAAGAAGAAAAAAAGGTTTTTGAATTTCCAAGAAATACTGAACTGGATGACCCGACAGCATCACACGTCTGGTTCAAGTTTACCAAATTCTACACTGACGTTTCTGGCAAACGCAACAAATATTTGTTGCTTCTCTCACACCCACCTTGGCACAAAAGACTGCAATCCTGCCACGGGCCGTACGCATCCCAGAAAAAATGCTGAGGTTTGTCCTCTATGGGAATGTTGTAAGAATACCTGACATCAGGGTTGTAGAGGTTTCCTACGGATAGCACCTAGTTTGAGAAAAAGATCACACACAAAATACATGACGCATCTAAACAGCTTAAACAATAGCGACACACTGTGAAGCTGTGAGATTGAATATTACCTGGATTATAATCTCCTCTTCAATGCGGTCAGTGCAGTTGATTCTCTCCACGACATGGTCAGAGCCGCTGTATTCAATAACAGCATTCCCTACCCTGACTTCCCTTTTAAACATACTGACCACAAAATCTCCATTGAGTAAATATTCTCCACGGCTGTTGGACAAGGCTGCAAAGCAAAAAAGAAACAACATGCATGCTTTATCGTCCTTACGGTTATGCTCAGAAAGCAAATATATATAGAGGCTAAACAAACTAAAGTAGTGTCCGTTTGTTTTAAACACAAATTTGTCTCACTCCAAGACCCGAATGACCTAAGAAATCAAGCATTTTCATTTACAGTCAGATTTAGCAAGAGTCAGGGCAGATTAGGATAATCGGGGCAGAGAAATCCAGTATTGCGTGAAGAGGCCACGTCTTGCACTGCTGAAGTCAGTTTGCTTCAAAAATGCACGCTAATGTGATTATGTAGCTAATTTCCTGAGTTACTTTCCTCACTACTTCACACATTACACCGAGAAACCTCTGTTCCCCCTTGCTAACCACCTACACACACTCAAATACCTCTTTCCACAACGTCTACATTCCTGTCTTGGCCTAAACCACACGCATTGTAGATAAACATAAATAAACACACACACACACACACACACACACACACACACACACACATACAGTATATAGGGCAAATACACAGAGACATGCAAATATATCAATAAACACAGAACCACTCAGTAATCTGCTGAATCTGAATAGTACATTAGATGCACAATATTTAAGAGCATCGTATTTGCTGTCTGTATTTTTCTGATTTATTTTTGGCCAATGAATTTTGTCGTCATTATATGCTGATTAATTTAAATAATGAAACTATATACAGTCACTGGCCGCTTTATTAGGTACACCTGTCCAGCTGCTCGTTAACGCAAATTTCTAATCAGCCAATCACATGGCAGCAGCTCAATGCATTTAGGCATGTAGACATGGTTAAGACAATCTGCTGCATTTAAAGCAATATGGGCTGGTCTGAGTATTTCAGAAACTGCTGATCTACTGGGATTTTCACGCATAACCATCTCTAGGGTTTACAGAAAAAAAAGGGAAAAAAATCCAGCGTGCAGTCTGATGGCTACTTCCAGCAAGTTAACGCACCATGTCATAAAGTGTGAATCATCTCAGACTGGTTTAAAGAACATGACAATTAATTCACTGTACTCAAATTGCCTCCACAGTCCCCAGTTCTCAATCCAATAGAGCATCTTTGAGATGTGGTGGAATGGGGGATTCGCATCATGGATGTGCAGCCATAAAATCTGCAGCAACTGTGTGGTGCTATCATGTCAATACGGATCAAAATCTCTGAGGAACATTTCCCGCACCTTGTTGAATCTATGCAATGAATGATTAAAGCAGTTTAGAAGGCAAAAGGGGGTCCAACCGGGAACTAGGCCGGTGAGTGTATATAAAAACATATACTGTATAACTCATTTTATTAGTATTCTTTTCATAAGTGTATTACTATTACTACACCTTTTTTATTTATTCCTATTTAGCCACAGTTATTCCTATTTAGTGTCTTTTTATCCAGAATTGAGTTTTGAAAAAGATTATAAACTCACAATTAAAAGTTGCAATCTTGCATTTCTCAGAACTGGTAGTTTGTAGCAATTGTGAGTTCCTACTGTAGCTCACAAAACTCCACTAAACTCCACTAAACACTTACTGCTCTGACAATGCCCAAAACTCAAAACGGAGAAAAAAAAGTTGCAATAACTTATTTGTATTATTTATATTGATCCATCCATTCATCCATCCATCCATCCATCAATCAATTAATCTGTCCTACTCTAAAGTGGAAATAGACTTCCACTGTGATGAACTACAGTATAGTAAAACTGAACAAAAATCATACACTGTTCAGTTTGATGTCTTTTTCTTGCCTTACCGAGGTAGTTATCGTCCTCTGCTTTCCCTGAGTAGCTGTGTTGTCTCACATCTATATTTGTAGCACCACTGGGAATTCTCACCACTACATTGTAACCTGTAAAATAAAAAAAATAAAGAAGTCAACAAAATACACATCCTAAAATATCATTCTAAGGTAAATACTTCTGTTAATTTGCTCTGAGATCTGGCTGAAGGGAATCAAACTGAGTTTTACTAATGTTTAACTAATGCTAAACTATTCAGTTACCTTGATATATGAGAAGAGCTGATTTGTCTGTGTGACCTACCATAATGCACTATGTTGAACGTTCCTGCCACAGGCTTGCATGAAGAGTTATCCCCACCGCACACCCCGCACTTATCTCTCCTGGCCTTGGAGTTCAACACATGGTCACATCCTGCTTGCTGCAGAAACAGGATGTGGAATTAATTCAGAGGACACTTGAAGAGAGTTTTACAGCATTTCTGCTTCACATTTGGGCCACATACAGTGTCTTAAACTAATATTGGCACCCTCACCTGTGATAAAATGTATTATAAAATCTAAATATGTATTATAAAACTCTGCAGTCACTGATGACTATTGAAAACTGCATTTGTGCCACAATTTAATTGGCACCCATATGAATTCGTTCATTGATACATTTTTTTCTTTGGCTTAGTCTCTATTTCAAAGGTAGCCACAGTGGAATGAAGCACCAACTATTCCAGCATATGTTTTCTGAAGAGGATGCCCTTCCAGCCACAACCCAGTATTGGGAAACACCCATACACACTCATATACAAACTCATATACACACACACACACACACACACACACACACACACACACACACACACACACATACACACACTTATGCACTGTGGCCAATTTAATTTATTCAATTCACCTATACCACATGTCTTTGGACTGAGGGGGAAACCGGAGCACCCAAAGGCAACCCACACGAACAAGGGGAGAATGTACAAACTTCCCACAGAAATGCCAACTGGTCTAGCCGTAACTCGAACCAGCGACCTACTTACTGTGAGTTTGAAGTATATCATTAATGATATTTTACACTTTAAATACACCTTGTTGACTAGAAAAGTGAAAGTTAAAAGGAAGACCTCATGCTTCACAGGGCTACAAATGTGAGGAAATGCAGTCCAAACTCACTCAGTCATTCATCTCAATGGATAAAACCAAAGAACAGAGCTGTGATTGACGATGAAAGGTTGTTGAGCTTCAAAAAAGGTAAGTGTCTATAAGAAATTAATGAAAACCCCACCAGTGAAATAAATAAATCATTTCAGTAAACTGGAAGTGTTATGAATTAGTTAGTTGGGTATTGGGATCAGAGAGAGTCTCTAAAACTCTAATCTGAAAGCACCAGCATTAACACAAACTGTTTTAAACTGTTTTGTGAATAAAAGGGGTTAACACTTTAGTTTCGGTCACAATTCACGGTATTAACAAACCATTACCTAACATTACTAGCTTAATAAACTACTAATAAACTGTTTATGAATAGCTAGTAAGGTAGTAGCTAGGTTTATGTTTTAGATAGGATAATGGATGTAGAATATAATCATGCTTTTTAACTACCAATGAACAGTTAATATCTTAATAATAGGCAGGTAATACGCCAGTAGTTATTAGCATGAATTGTGATCTAAACTAAACTGTTACCAAAAAAGGCTCTAAAAACTTACTCAATAATCTCTTTAGTTTTTTTTGTCATAGTCTTTTGAGCAAAAAGGTTAAACAACAAAGAAAATCAAGACCTCATGTTTCACAGGGCTAAATATATACGAGGAAACACAGGTCAAACTAACTCAGTCATTCATTTCAATGGATAAAACCAAAGAACAGAGCTGTCATTTGTGATAGACGATTGTTGAGCTTAAAAAAAGGGAAGTGGCTATAAAAAAATTATAAAAACCCAAACAGTGGAATAAATGAGTAATTCCAGTAAACTGGAAGTGTAATGAATTAGCTAGCTGAGTCTTGGGATCAGAGAAAGTCTCTAAGACTCCAATCTGAAAGCACCTGCATCAACACAAACTGTTTGAAACTGTTTCGTGAAAAAAAAAGGGGTAACTCTTTAGTTTGGGTCACAATTCACAGTATTAACAAACCATTTACTAGCACTACTAGCTTATTAAAATACTAAATAAACTACTAGTTAACTGCCTATTAATAGTTAGTAAGATAGTAGTTGGGTTTAGGCTTTGGGTAGGATCAGGGATGTAGAATAAGATCATGCTTTATACCTACTAATAAACAGTTAATATCTTAATAATAGGCAGGTAATAAGCTAGTAGTTAATAGCATGAACTGTGATCTAAAGTGTTACCAAAGAAGGCTCTAAAACATCTCTTTAAATTTTTTGTCATAGTTTTTTGAGCAAAAAGGTTCAACAAAAAAGAAAATCAAGACCTTACAGTATGTTTCACAGGGCTAAATATTTAGGAGGAAACGCAGGCCAAACTCACTCAGTCATTCATTTCAATGGATAAAACCAAAGAAACAGAGCTTTCATTTGTGATAGAAGATTGTTGAGCTTCACAAAAAATGGCTAAAAGAAAATAACAAAAACCCCACCAGTGGAATAAATAAGTAATTCCAGTAAACCGGTAGTCTTATAAATTAGTTAGTTGAGTCTTGGGATCAGAGAAAGCCTCTAAAACTACAATCCGAAAGCACCTGCATCAACACAAACTATTTGAAAGTGTTTTAGGAAAAAAGCCTCTAAAAACCAACTCATCTCATCTCGTTTCATTTGTTTTAGTTTTTTTGAGCCCAAAATCAAAAAGGTTAAACAAGAAAGAAAAAAACAGCCTTCTTTACTTATATTCACCCCGGGTGCCATTATTAGTGGAGCACAACCACAAACACACCCACCCTGCACAGGCCTTGAACGCAGATGTCATTAGTGTCAGGTCCACACTGCGTGCCGTCAGTCACTCTGTCCCTGAGTTGGTAGTAAGCTGTGCTGCCCGCAACACGACAGAATAGCTTACAGCGATCCTTCATCAGAACTACAGCAATCAGATACACGAGAGAGAGAGAGAGAGAGAGAGAGAGAAACAGAGACAGAGAGAGAGAGAGAGAGAAACAGAGACAGAGAGACAGATAATGTTAATACAGTCTGGAGGCTTAACTGTATTTAGGACATTGATAATATGTTTCTCACCAGCTGGTCGTCTTTGTGCTGTGCAATTAGCAAGTTAATTGAAATATAATTGTGTTTAGTAATTTGATTTTGAAAGTATGGAACCTTTGAAATTATTGGCTCCACCATGTCTCAAATCTTAAGGGAAATTATTTAATATGCCAAAAGCAATTATGTACTAGTTTTAAAATGCACTCTTAACCAATACTGAAGCTACAGTATATGAGCAGAATTGGCAAGCTGATTTACTGTTTATGTACTAAAATATATACTATGTATGTTGCAGCATTTACTGTTGTGGTATTTATTCACATTTTGGTTTAACTAGTACTTTTTATTTTTCAGTTTTAATTTTAGTTTTATAAACGTGTAAATTGCTTTTTAGAAACTTTTTTTTTTTTTTTGTAAATGTGCTATTTCACATATTTCAGTTTGTTGCTTTTTGGTTTTAATTTCAAGTCATAATTATACAATTTTTTGTTTTGGTTTTATCTTAAAGGTATAGGTCACCCAAAATTGAAAAATACCTCATTATTTACTCTCCATCATATGGTTTTAAACCTTCTTGTGTTTCTTTCTTCTGTTGAATGCAATAGAAGATTTTTTGAAGAATGCTGCTTGTGGGCACCCACTGACTTCCATAGCATGAAAAACACAATCCTATGGAGTTCAATGAGTAAAAGCAACCAGCATTCTTCAAAATATCTTCTTCTGTGTTCAACAGAAAAAAATTACCCAAATATGCCAAATGATGACAGAAATTTGATTTTAGGTTAACTATACCTTTAAACATTTGGGGCTCTATTTTAATGATCTAGGCGCAAAGTCTAAAGTGCTGGTCGCAAAAGCATTAAGGACGTGTCTGAATCCACTTTTTTAAGGATGGAAAAATATGCATGGTCAATATACAGGGTTGTGCTTAATCTCTTTATGAGTTATAGGTGTAAAACAAATATAAATATGCATATAGTAAATAATACTAATAATAATAATGTCATGAATGAACTGAAAAACCTTCCTGAGATAAAGGGAATGCAGGCAGTGCCTTTTGCATTTATGGGGTAAATAATAATATTTGTAATATTTAATATTGCTGTACATCCTGCTTGATTTAAACAATGTGTAAGCAAGGCGCACAACTGACGTCCTCTGTGCTTCCAGCTGGTCTATTGTGCAGTCTAAATAGCAACGCACCAACAATGTGCCTTAACACACCTCTTTTCTGGATCGGAACACTCATGAGTCCACAAAATGGCGCAAATGGATTTGCTATTTAACGAAAGTAGTGAAAAAACAAGAAAAGTAATCTTACACTGGTTTGAAAATAGCAAAACGTCGGGGCAAACAGGTCTTGTGCATTATTGCGCCGGGTGTATGATAGGGCCCTTGATTTGGTTGCTAAGGCAGCATTTTTAATATTCATTTAATATTTTTAAGTTTAAGTTTAACGCATTGATGATTTTTTGGAAGATACAGGATCGTTAAATAAGTGATAGCCTAAATTATTACTTATTAAGTAATTAACTCAATTATTATTTTATTATTTTTTACAACTGTCCATTAAATCTGATTATTATACTCCAGTTGCAATCACTGGACTAAATCCCTTACTTCCGCTGTACTTTGGCACCCAGCGAACATTTGGAGGTAGACCATTGATGTTGAAGTGCCGTCCATCAAAGCTGGCACACTGTTCCTCCCTGAAGTCTTTCTTTTGCTTGGAGCATGGCTCAGAGTTACAGGAGCGAAATTTCATCCTGCGTCCAACACAATACTTCCCCCCATTTCTGGGCCTACAGTAGAAAAAAACACATTCAGAGCTTATATCTACACTGGAAATATTTCTTAGAAAATCTCTTCAGCTTTCTTGATCTTGTTTCTGTTTCACTGCAATTAAAATAGAGCAAAGCCTCCAGTCTACCCACTGCATTAAAATGCAGTCTCTTTTGAAAAATGTTCTTCTTCAGGATGGCTTTGCTGCTGCCATTTGTCAGGGAACATTGAGAAACATGGTGCCAATTCACAGTCCAGTGAGGATGCAAGACTACAAAGAGCGGCAGCTTACACGGGTCGGTTACATTCGCGGACAGCGATCTTGATTCCCCCTCCACAGGTCCTTGAGCACGTGCCAAAGGGACTCCAAACGCCCCAGGCACCCTCAACTGGAACATATTCATGCTCTTTATGGATGCACAGGCCATGTTTACAATGCTGCAAGCAATGAACAAACAGAGAAAAGATGAGATCATTGAAGAATTAGTCATGACTGGCTGTTTGTTATAAAGTTCACCGACTAGAATGAATGTTGAAACACAGACAATATGACAATTCAGAGTGTCTTTTGCTTTGGTCAGATCCCTTGTCAACATGTGGTTGGTTGAGCTGTGTATCTTACTGACTTATTTACTTTCATTTCAACAAACTGTTTAGTCGACCTGGAGAAAATTAAGCCTTTCTTTTTTAGATATTACCTTTTTATGTTTGGTTTGCAAAGTTTTAAAGATCAAAGTGCGGAATAAAGGGAGTTTTTGTCTAGCAAAAGAAAGAACCAATTCCCAACTGCCTGAAACAAGTTGTCAATGATTCCGAGGTTACTTCAAACACAAACCTAAGTAGGCTTTTAATAATTTTGTCAAATGTCAGCCTGAGGTCTTCAGCGGTCTCTTTTCTGTGCTGTACACAAAAACAAAATGTCATCCACTCGATTGTTGAGGATTTCAGACTGCATATATAATTAACCAATTAATCTTATAAAGTTCAAACACTGCATTCTCATTTTAGAGTATAATCACTAATTTTAAACATGAATTGAGTATCATCTGGCTTTTAAGACTCAACTTTAAATATTAGCATCGACATTCGGCTAATAACACAACAAAAACCAATCAATTTGTGTCAGTAATGTACCTCATGTAAACACATATTTAGCATAACATTACACAAAATAAAAAAACATTTACAAGCCAAGTCACTTTTCTTTACTTGAGAGCACAGGAATACACAAAAACAACTCCTATTAGGGCTTTTTAGACCAAAAACATTTACAAAAATGTGTCGAATTTTCTTGTTTACATCATGTTATTCATTTAGTCAGAGTCAGCATTTCTTTTAATTTTCCACAAAATTATGCAACCTAGGCTTATTCTAAAAATGTACCCCTATATATTATATATACCCCTATACATTTCTGGAGAGCGCCAAATACGTCCCAGTAGGTCCCAGTTTTTGTTTTCACAAATCCACAAGAGGCCGTAGTGTAAGTTGTTTTTGAGATATTACATTTCTTTTGTGAGCGTCATTCGCACCTGCTGTTCTCACATAAATCCACCAGAGGACACTGTCGACTAATTGACTGACCAACTGACCGAAAACTCCACCCACTCCCTTCCCTAAACCCAACCGATAGTGTTTTAAAGGCATAGATTGAAATTTGTACTGTTTTCAGATTTTATCAAATTCTTACCGATTATCTCAAGAGATATCGTTCAATTCGATATCTCGGTGCATCACGGTGCATTGAAGATGCTTTCCATATATAGTGTTATATTTTAGGGGGGAGGCTATAACATGCTGTCTGTATAAACACACAGACACACAGCAACACACTATCTCTCATTCAAACACATTCACAAACATGAACAGCATCAAACAAACAAACACACACACGCACACACACACAAACAAACACACTTAAGCCCTTGCAACAGGGAGAACTCGCGCTGAGCGGAGCAGAAAAAAAAAAAAAAAAACGAAAAAAAATAAGCACTTTTCCGACGGTCCCTTACAGAGAGTTCCTTTCAGCGCGAGCTCTGTCGGCTAAAGTAAACACAGACTGCGAGGGCTTAAACAGAGCAGTGCTCGTAATGTCGAGCGAAAAAAAGAAAGACAGCTGTGAAACATAACCAGCTTTGTCTTTCTGTAGGAAACACACTTTAGATCTTTTTAGGGTAAGCGTTTTTTGAGTTATTGCCGTCTATAACTGAATGTGTGTCAGGAAAATCGAAAACAAAACCAACTGAAACGCGCTCATTTCTGGCGCCCCACTGGATATACAGTGCCCTAAGCATTTGCCTATGGTGCCTATGCCACGGGCCGGCCCTGAGTTGGCTGAGTGTTGTAAATAACGGCAGAGCGCATAAGAGATAAATGACGTCACTACATAATAACCGGTTATGGTTATTACTGAATCAATACCTAATTGTCCGCGTCTGCATCGCGGTGCACCGAAGAAACAATTAATTTTGACACCCCTAATATATATATATATATATATATATATATATATATATATATATATATATGATATTAGTTGGTAGACTAATATGTTTATTTAAATTCAATTCATATATAGCGCTTTTACAATGCTGATTGTGTTAAAGCAAGTTCTAGTAAAATGAAACTGTGTCAGTCCAGTTTTCAGAGTTCAGTTTAGTTCACTTCAGTGTGGTTTAAATTTCACTGCTGAAAGTCCAAACACTGTTGCTCTTCAATCCATCAATGTGCAACTCCACATGTCTCAAACCAAGCAAGCCAAACCAAGCAAGCCAAGTATGTGTTGACAAGTATATGTGTCGCTACGGTGGCACATATACTAAAATTGAATCAATACATAAAAGATTAGCATGCCCCCTTAAAGGATGACACGCAAATGCGTTAATCGCTCCATATGTAAACATGAGAAATGAGCAGCATCGCTAACTATCTCCTGACTCAGGTAAACTCAGCCTTTGTTTATGAACACTTCTCAGGCCCAGCTACTCCAGCATAAGCCAAGGTATTTGGTTTGCCAGAAAACAAAAAACCTGGCCATTGGCCCTGAGGAAGCCTAGATAGGTGTAGCTTGATCAAGTCACTGCCGTGAAAGTGGAAACACAATTGGCTCTGGTACACATTAGCATGCTCATTTTAAACCCAACTGTGGAAAGCTATTGGCTTCCTATGAACGATTGCTCTATTCTGCCTTTTCACTTTATTGCAGAGTAGTGAAATATTGGCTATGGCAGGTAGGGTTGTGCAATATGACAATATATGTCATTGCGCAATATGTTAAATATATGAAGAGTTTAGATGCAAAAACCTCTAAATGCTATTTGATATTCTCCTAAATTAGCTTTTTTTTCAGAATCTTGAGTGTGGGCTTAGTAATTCACTTTTATAATGTTAAATAAGTTCTTTTCATTGGCTTTAAAGTAAAATAACTGAAGACAAATGTAGAAGGCTTAGAAAATCCTCATTTTAGGAGAAAATTTCAGACAGCATTTACAGGTTTTGGCATTTGAACTCTTCATTAATTAATTAATTTTTTTTCAGTTTAGTCCCTTTATTAATCAGGAGTCGCCACTTATCGAGCATATGTTTTAAGCAGCGGATGCCGTTCCAGCTGCAACCCAACACAGGGAAATGAACTCATATATATATATGTAGACAAAATAAAAAATCTATCAATTCATATTGCTCTATCATTTATTTAGTAGCATCACAAAATACATTATTTATGATACTATTTATTTATAATTTATATGAGCACAATGTTACAAGCCCTTACAGGATGCAGATAAAGAAAATAAATAACAGCATTGTTAAAAAGTTGCAGTCTTGAAAGTAAAATGTTTAGATTTTGCAGTTTGTTTAGCAACATGTATATAACACACATTATCAATTTATAAATATATATATATATATATATATATATATATATATATATATATATATATATATATATATATATATTATGTTGAACCTGTAATCATTTGTTTTTAAAGACGTTTTATATTTTATTATTATCTAATTTATGTTTCTACATTTTTTATCAAGCATTTGGCCTGAAGTTCTCAATAAAGTGAGAAATATGATCACATAAGAATGAGTCAGTTTCTGAGTATATACTGTACTTTTAAAAGAAATAGTTATTTACATGAGATCAATATATATGACCTATAAATTGATTGAATGTACATAAATATATATAAAATAAAAACATATAAATATATATAAAAACAGATATATACAGTTGAAGTCAAAATTATTAAACCCCCTTTGATTTTTTTTCTTTTTTTTATATTTCACAAATTATGTTTAACAGAGCAAGGAAATATTAAGTCTGACAAATTTGTTTTCTTCTGGAAAAAAAAACCTTTTTTTGTTTTATTTAGACTAGAATAAAATCAGTTTAAAAAAAAAAAAAAAACATTTTTAGTTTTTTTTTTAAATTATTAGCCCCTTTAAGCTATTGTATTTCCGACAGTCTACATAACAAATCACTGTTATACAATAACTTGCCTAATTACCCTAACCTTCCTAGTTAACCTAATTAACCAAGTTAAGCCTTTAAATGTCACTTTAAGCTGTATAGTAGTGTCTTGAAAAATATCTACTCAAATATTATTTACTGTCATCATGGCAAAGATAAAATAAATAAGTGATAAGAGATGAGTTATTAAAACTATTATGTTTAAAAATGTGTCTCTCCGAAAATCAGCTCTCCGAAGTTGGGGAAAAAATAACTGCCATTCCACACATAGGTCTGTCTTTGTGAAAATTAAAACGCAATGCTGAGATTTAAAACTGTTTTGCTCAATGATTACCAGACAATCCACTTATCATGGGTGGTCCCAGCATGAAAATCAAAACAAGATGCAAAAGGCTGATCTCTTGCATATCTAGATGCATCAAGATGCATGACACCACAGCATATGAAATTCTTAGAAAAATATGTGTCCTGAGATAGCTAGTAACATAGCAAAAATGATGCTATTGGCAAAACTTTTCATATAAAGGTCACAAGATGCAAGTCCATTCACAATCACAAGCACTACGCAAGTCTGACTTGAGTTCACAATCTGGGAAACATTCTAAAGCAGAGACAGGGGCAAAAACAAAGCAATATATCAGTGTGGACAAGTGTCACTGTGAAAGTGATTTGGTCGCTATTTGGAGGAAATTTGTGTTTGAAGTTACACTGAAGAATCTGCTTTTCATCTGCAATTCTGCAAAAACGGTTATTGGGCGAAGTGCAGAAATATAATGTTAACTCCCTGGAGTTCTTTCAAGGGACATAATGAGTTTCTGGCAGGGAATTAAAATCTACACAAAACCAATAACATACAACAAACTCTCCACATGTGACCAGCCAAGAGTTATTATTGTTTCCTAACAGAAAAAAAGCTGGAGGGATAGTCCACTCATAAATGAAATGCTGTCATTATTTACTTGCCTTCATGTTGCTCCAATTTTAACTTAGCAACATATTTTGCAAGACATTCAATGTCTTTTTTGAAGAATGCTTGAGGTCAAAACAACATTGGAGCTTGTTGACTTTCATCATATAGATCAAGCAAAGAGAAATACTTCAAAGTATTCTTCCTGCTTGCTTAACGGAAGCATTACTGAGCAACAAAGACAATAGGTCTCATTCACTAAGCAATTTGTTTGTATAATCTGCCAACAAATGTTCATTCACTCTTTCATTTTCCTTCAGTTTAGTCTCTTTATTCATCAGAGGTCGCCACAGCGGGATGAACCGCCAACTTATCCAGCATTTGTTTTATACAGCGAATGCCCTTCCAGCTGCAACCCAATGACTGGAACCATCCATACACACTCATTCACAAACATATACTATGGACAATTTAGTTCATCCAATTCACCTATAGCACATACCTCAGGGGGAAACCGGAGCACCCAGGGGAAACCCACACAAACACGGGGAGAATATGAAAACTCCACACAGAAATGCCAACTGACCCAGCCAGGACTTGAACCAGCGACTATCTTGCTGTGGGGCACAGTGCTAACCACTGAGCCACTGTGTGACCCCCACGGCTACACATGTTCTATTGATTAAGTCAATAGATTTGTTCTAAAATATATTTCTAACAAAATACAGGAATCATACACTAAAAAGAGCCTATTCTTGGTTAGGTTTCTTTGAGTAACCACCCATATGTAAGCAAATACAGATGGCTAATGAGCTCTGTGTAAAGTCACTGTGTAAAAGGTGTTTACTGTGTTTAAACTGCGTTTGTTTAAATTTCACATTTGGGGATTGCACATGTTGTAAGTTAGCAAAAAACATTTAGTGAGAAGTTTCTGAAAAAATAAATAAATAAAAAAAAACAAGGCTGTGTTTTCACCTAGTATTAAAATGCGTTTTTAATTATCACAAGTGTCAGATGAGATGCATTGCCGTTTCCACTGGTTTTAGTGTGTTTTTCATAACACATCCCATACTGATCACATTTTAGGGGATGGTTTTATGGCTAGTTCAATGCATTTGACCATATGAGTGTTTACACTACAAAAGCAATCTGATCGAATGCTTTTTCAGCTACCTCTGGGAGTGGTCCAACTTTAAGTTACAAACTCCTTTCCTCTCCATGTGCACCAGACAACTTGTTTAACAAGCACGCTCGTGCATTGTAAAAAATATTGTGCAATAATTGAGTGTGCTACACACAGGTGAGTGGGCTTGACCAACTCCCTGTAGAACATACACTCTCCTCTCTATATGCACCAGACTTTTTTGGAAAACATTTTGCAATTCTGAGTGTACTCCATACAGGTGAGTGCGCCTTACAAACCACCCATATAACACACTCTACTCTCCATGTGCACCAGAAACCTTCTTATAAACACTGTATTTTTCTTGGAAAACATTGTGCTATTCTGAGTGTGCTCCACACAGGTGAGTGTGCTTGACAAAACACCTGTAGAACAAACACTCCCCTCTCCATATGCACCAGAGCAAAAGTTTGCTCTTCAGTGTTTGGACTTTCAGCAGTAAAAATTAAACCACACTGAACTCAACTAAACTGAACTTAAACTCTGAAAACTGGACTGACACAGTTTCAGTTTACTATAATATTCTATGTTAAGCTGCTTTGACACCATTTACATTGTAAAAGGGCTATAGAAATAAACATTGTATTCTTCTTGAAAAACAATGTGCATTTCTGAGTGTGCTCCATACTGGTAAGTGGGCTTTTTAAACCACTTGTACGACACACTCTCACCTCTAATCTAACCTAAAAATATATAACTTAGACTTGTCCTTGCATTAATATATTGCTGATGATTTTTTGAAGTGCTTCTTTTATCATTATTGAAAGTTGCTAAAAGTGTCTGCTAAATGAATAAATGTAATGTAAAATCTTAAAGCGTTTCAGATCCAATTGACATCTAAATTGAATGTTATCCACTTGTAATCTGATTCATGAAAATGCATTAAAATATTAAGTATAAACAAATAAGTACCTAAACAATACATTGAAAGAAGATAATAGAAGATAATAAACCAATGCATAAACGTAAAAGGAAATGTTTAAATTAAACGAGCTGCTGGGGTTGGAGGACTAGTGATGTCATTTGTAGGTATGAGTGCTGTTGTAAATTTTCAGAAGTGCTTACCTTTCCTGGAGCACAGTCTGTGCCATCAGCCCATGGCATGTGTTGGGTTCGACAGCCCCGCTGGACTCCATCAGGACTGGTGCACCACAACCTCCGGCATTGTGTCTGCACAACATCCAAACACTCACTTTTAGCTTGAATATCTCACTTGTGTACATCAAGTTAAAATTGACAGATATTTTCAAATGACATCATTGCTACAAATAAAAACATTTTTTTTTTTGTCTTGTTTCTATTCTAAATATCATTTTTATTTAAATCTAAAAGGAAAAACAAGTAAAAAAAATAGTTTTGTTTTCAGAAAAATACAAGTATAAATAAAGCGAGTTTCTCCTTAAAACAACCAGAATAATCTGCAAAATACAAGTTTATTTTGCTTACCCCTTGATTTAAGGAAAAAATAAAATGTAATTTTTTTTTTCTGAAAACAAGAATTTTTTGAGACATTTGGACTAGAAACAAGACAAAATCTATATAAAATTTACATCTATAAATAACAGCACATGGCAGATATACACTAGAAGATGTCCATGTCAGTATGTTAAGCAATTCCCTGAGGGATCCTCTCACCATATATGGGCACACCTGCGTCCCAGGCCCAAATATCAGCTCACATTGTTTATTGACGCTGTATATCTGTCCAGGCAGCTGCTGGGACAAACTGTATGGCCTAGAAACCGGCTCATCAAGCAAACACTCACCATACCCTGTGCTAATGAGAAATGATAAACAAATGAGCTAAAAGAAAGCAAAACAAACAAGCAACAAACAATAGAAATGTTCTCAGTAAGTGACAGTTTGCTTCTGATGACGTAGTTTTCATCTCAGTTGAGAATGTTTAGAGGACAACAAGCGCATGCTAATGCTGGACATTAATCACTAAGTGGTGCTCAACTTGAAGAGTTCGAGCCAACATCACAGGCTTAACAACATCCTGTCAATGCATGGAGTGTAAAGAGGGTTTACATACTCGAGGAATTCTGTGATGTATTTCCGACTGCATTTGGACCACATCCAGGGATTAGTGTAATAATTGAGCGTAGGGGCCATCACATGTTGCTGGTTCTTGACTCCATCCTCCTTGCATTTGTTACTGTCATCGTGAGGCATGTTGAACCTAAGGCCATGAGTGAAAACACACGTGCGCACAAACACACACATGCAACTGATCAAGATGATGAGCATGTACAGGACAAACAGTACTGGCAAAGTCGGCTTAAACCGGGTAATTTCACTTTTACTCCAGGATCATATGAAAAAGGCAGTAGTGAAAAACAGTAAAAGGCGCTGATATTTAGTATCAGGCTCAATAATTGGTATATACAATATAGATAATTAACTGGGTGTAACTTTATTTTGATGGCCCTTTAATACATTTTATTGAAATTAAGTTACATTGCATCTACATGGCCCACTAATTCTCATTAGGTTATAAGTAGACTGTTAGGCTGGGGTTAGAGTTAGTGTAAGTTGAAATGTACTTGCAAAGTTTTTTATAGTCAGTTAAATGTCTGTTGAAGGAGCAGTATCAACAGATATTAAGCAGACAGTCTACTAATACTCAAATAAGAAGTAATTGGCATGTAGTTGCAATGCAACTTTTAGTCAACAAAATGTGCAATAGGAACCATCAAAATACAGTCTTACCATTAATTGTTGCATTGTTCTAAACTGATGCATTACTTAGCTTGCTGAATATATTCACTTGTCCCCATAAAGAAAACAGGGACATACCAACACAAAAATGCATACAGCAACAATACAGATATTGATAAACTGCTACAAAATCAGTCATTTCATGTTATGGAAGATGATCTATTAATGTTAGATATCAAAAACTACTTATTCATTCTTAATACAAATAAAATGAAATACTTAAAAATTGACCCTTGTTTAATAAATCAGCCTGTCCTTATATATGGAACATGTACAGTATAACTTACATGTTAAAATTTTTAAACAGGGATGTGCCAATACTAAAATATGGAAAATATGTAGATGCTGATAACATAACTAATACCAAAACTGATTGTCTTCAGAAACATGTTTTGTTGTGCTGGTTGAAAGTCTCTTCACATTCCAATAGTAATGATTAAAATAAATGACCTAAATGCATTTATATGTATTTTTATATTCTGGGTAAGAGATAAGACTCAAAAATGTTCATCCAATAAAAAATTGTCGGCAAGACATTTCCAATAATTCTGATAAGTAACCCAAACTGTCTGTCAAAAAGTATAAAAAAAAATTGTACATCTTCGCATCCGTTCACGCAGATTTGCTGATAGCGTGCCCACGCACATCGCAGTCACGTGGACACAAGTGACAGCGCTAAAAAAAAATGCTGAATTTAAATATTTCCTCTAAAACAGCATGTAAGTAAACTTAGTAATAAGTTTAATTCCTGCATCCTCCCCGTCAACCACTAAGCATACAGTAGTGGCTTTAAGACAAAGCGCGAGAGAGTGAGACCAGCGATCCTTGCATGCGTGAAATATTGCACATTATGACAAGATTTGCTAGCTACACAACTGAAACTCTGCTAGATATAATACAGTTTTTTGTTCTGAATCGCAGTATTATAAAGTACTATAAAGTTTTTAAAAAACTGGTGAATGAAATTATGAAGTGGTTCTCTGTCATTTTTAATGTTCACGTTTGTGATTTCAGTAGTTGTGGCTTTGGACGGCAGGGGAGGGATTGTATTTGAAAGATATTATGCTAACCAGTTAGCATTTAGGCAGATCACTTACTGCACATTTAATGATTCATGGATAAATAAATAAATTAATTAATTAATTAAATAATTTTACGCACCGGATGCCCTTCCAGCCACAACCCATCTCCGGGAAACATCCACACACACTCTTTCACACTCATAGACTACAGACATTTTTTTTAGCCAACCCAATTTACTTGTATTGCATGTCTTTGGACTGTGGGGGAAACCGGAGCACCTGAAGGAAATCCATGCGAACACAGGGAAAAAATGCAAACTCCACACAGAAACGCCAACTGACCCAGCTGAGGCTCAAACCAGCGATCTTCTTGCTCTGAGGCGACAGCACTACCTACTGCGCCACTGCATCGCCTTATTCAATATCATAAAGGATATATTTTTATTTATAGGTTATATAAGAGTGCATTATCTATATCTGCATTATATAAACTATTTGCCAGTCTGTTGTCTAGACACTAAACTTAGTTTTGGCAAAATTTCAATTCCCATATCTGTTGTCCTCCAGTGAGGACAGTAATAATCCCATGAGCAGCAGAACACATCAGATTGTGGGGCGAGAGGTGTTACGCGCTGCATAGCACTGTACAGCACCAGAACTAAATCCACACTCAAGAGCACGGCACTGATGTCACCACCTGCCACAGGGCAACAATGTGAGAAAAAAGGTTCATTTATAGGTTGTTTACAGGTTATTTTCACATCAGTGCACATGCAAACTAAATGCTATTGCCAATATTGCAAGTTCAATGTTTGTCTTCAAATGAGAACATTAGCTAAGCTAGCTGACTGAAATAGGCACTGAAATGTGCTTAAATAATGTTTGTTTTACTTTACTTGACTATAATGAGACTGCTATATATGCCATGACATTTATTACCTCCAAGACTATATTAGGCTGCAAAAAAACCTAGTGTATAACTGAATACTTTAGTGCTCTCTGCAGAAATAACCTTGGGAAGTTGCATATCAGACATAGACACACCGTTATCAAGCTGTACAAGAGGCAATGAAATCTTCCCAAAACATTACAAAATGAAACAAAGCTATTGAAGACGAATAAGAAATTTACACACTGTTAGACCTTGAAAGAAATAAAGTGTTTTAAAGGTAGACCTTTCACATAATCACTTGAATAAATGATTAAAGGTTTAGATCTGTGTGTAATAAAAGCTCCTCTCAGGTAAAGTTCATAAGACAAACATCATTGTTAATGCAGGAGATATTACTGCCCCAAAAAGAATTTGGACACTCAGGCCACATTTAGAAATGAAAAATGCAAGACAGACATTGTGCTGAACAGCGAAATGTCATGCAAAGTGTCATATATTTCAAGGAAGAAAAGTATGAGCACATTTATTTCACAGTATTTCACAAAAAACCCAACAGTACTCACACATGGCCGAGCTCATGAGCGATGGTGAAAGCAGTACTGAGTCCATTATCCTCATTAATACTGCAACTTCTATAAGGATCACAAACTGTACCCAGCTCAGCTAGACCTGAAAGTGCAAATGGAAGCAGTCAGAATGTTGCTGCATTTCACATCATTGCCATAAGCATCATCCTCATTAGGGCTTTACACCTTGTGTTAATCCAGGTTTACATTATTCTAAACACTATTAAAGCCAAGGAAACAAACATTTCACAATTGCAATCATTACTCCAGGTAAAGTCAGAATTATTAGCCTCACTGAATTATCAGCCCCCTGTATGTTTTCCCCTATTGCTGTTAAACAGAGAGATTTTTAGACCCATTTATAAACATATTAGTTTTAATAACTCGTTTCTAATAACTGGCTTCCTTTATCTTTGCCATGATGACAGTACATAATATTTTACTAGATATTTTTCAAGATACTAGTATTCAGCTTAAAAAGACATTTAAAGACTTAACTAGGTTAATTGGGCAAGTTAGGGTAGTGCAGTAGGTAGTGCTGTCGCCTCATAGCAAGAAGTTTGCTGGTTCGAGCCTCAGCTGGCTCAGTTGGCATTTCTGTGTGGAGTTGTCATTTTCTCCCCACGTTCGCGTGGGTTTCCTCCGGGTGCTCCGATTTCTTCCACAGTCCAAAGACATGCGGTACAGGTGAAATGTGTAGGCTAAATTGTCTGTAGTGTATAAGAGTGAATGAGTGTGTATGGATATTTCCTAGAGATGGTTTGCAGCTGGAAGGGCATTCGCTGTGTAAAACATATGCTGGATAAGTTGGCGGTTCATTCTGCTGTGGCGACCCCAGATTAATAAAGAGACTAAGCCGAAAAGAAAATTAACGAATGAATGAATTGTTGGTTTACAATCAAACGAACAAAATCCTGTTGCACTACTACACTTGATATAGGTGTTATTGTAAAAATAAAACAAGAAAACATATTAAATGAAAATCTGAAATATTTTTATGCCATACTTAAAGATGATTTAAGGATCAAAAATGTATTTTTTTAATAAATTGGTCTTATGCTTCATTTTTTCAGATTTTTCATAGTATATGTTTTATTTCCCGCACTATTACCATAAACAGACACATCAATCATTTGCTAGAGGTTGATATTTTAGAAGTTATGGGATGTGTTAAAAAAAATTGCATTGAGTGTGTTAACTAGTGACATTAAGAGTTAAGAAATGCAATCTAAACAATTTTTCTCTTGGTGAGGTAGTTAAAGGGTTAAAGTGGTTTGTTCTGTAGACAATTAAAAAAAATATACTGCTTAAGGCAAATATTGACCTTGAAATGGTTTAAATGGCTTAAATGGCTTTTATTCTAATCGAAATAAAACACATAATGTAGATTTCTCCTTAGGAAAAATATTAAAAGAAATACTGTGAAAAATTCCTTGCTCTGTTAAACATCATTTAATAAATGTTTGAAAGAGAAACAAAAATTCACAGGAGGGATATTAATTCTAACTTCAACTGTATAAAATCAATTCATCATAATAATTGAAATCATAACTGTAATATTGGGGGTTAGCACCATTTTTACCTTAAGTACTGAAGTCTTGTTTTGGAGCATGGTAAGCACCACTTTTGTAGTGATAATACTCACTTTTTTATAGTAAAATGAATAAGTGAGTGAGTGAGTAAGCGAGTGAGCGGGTGAGTAAGTGAGCGAGCTAGTGAGTGAGTGAGTGAAATAAGGCACATTTTGTTATTTGGGTACTTGGAAATGTTTAGCTTGGGCAGATGATTTTACCATCACTGTCATCATCAGAACGCACTTGCCCAGTACATTCAACATCTGGCTCACATTTGCAATGTCAACCACTTTCTGATGACTATTATTTGCAATGTCTTAAACATCTCTGTCAACTTACTAAATTCAGCATCAAGTGACAGTGACATAATTGATTGCATATGGTGATTGCTTTCTTATTCAAGACATTTTAAGTTTTGCTGATTACATCTTTATGCCTTTGGTAATTTAAAGAGAAACATCACATCACATAATAAGTGACTACGTTTACATGGACATCAGGTCTCTAATTATTTGCCTTAATCTGATTAAGATAATAATATGATCAAGGTGTTTACTTGAGTTGCTTTTTAAATGTTCTTTCATGATCCCGTTTTAATGTTATAGGATTTAATTAATGTCATCCTCGTTTCATCCAGAGTTTCATGTAATTTTGAGTATTTCATTTTGAATTTTCCGACTTTATCTGCAGTTTGGCACTTTCACTTTCATTCAGTAACATTTCATTCATGCCCCCGATGGCAAACAAGATATTGAATGTGAGTATAACTTGCTAGAGGAGTGTTGCTTTAATGAAATTTGATACGGCATGCCGTATGGAAAAAAAAACCTCAGGCAGGTGTCTGTGGTCCAGAGACTACAGTAGTGTCAAACAGTCGTGCGTACAGACTATACTGTCGCAAAATGCGAAAAAAATCCTGCACGATGGTAATAGTTTGATTAAGCTGTTTACATGTCTGTAATGCACTTCAGTAATGACACTAAATATTGACATACTCCAAATACCTTAATTCAGTTTCTGTTTAGTTCGATTATGATCTTCAGATTAAATTAATCCAATTAAATTAATCAAAAATTGCTGTTTACATGGTAGACTCTTAATCAGAGTATTTTCTTAATCATATTAAAATCTGATTATTGGTGTCCATGTAAACATACTCACTGTGACACTACCATCTTAAAAATAAAATATAAAAGTGCACCTAAAAATGAAAATTATTTTATCATTTACTCATCCTACACTTATTTTAAACCTGTTTAAGTTCTTCTGTTGAACACAAAGGAAGATATACTGAAAGATGTTGGAAAAACACAGCCATTGATTTCCATAGCATTCTTTTTTGTTCCTACTATGGATGTTTTTTTTTTCAACATTATTCAGAATATTTTATTATAGAACCACTTAAATGTGAGTAAATGTTGAGGATATTTTCATTTTAGATGAACTAACCCTTTAAATGAATTGCACTTTTTGAGTCATATTGATTTATACACTTTCAGAATTAAAGCTGTCATTGGGGCGGTATCATTTCTAAAGATATAAATTTTAAGTACATTTCGGCATTAAAATGCACCTTTGAGGTACCACTGTAGACTCTTTCGGTCAAAATATGTATCTTTTGAAAAGGTACTGCCCCATTGACATCTCCTATACCTTTATTTCTGAGAATGTAGTTGCATAGGGAAAATATATTTACACTATTACACACCATTGGTTGCTAGTGACCATATACACTTTATACAAAAAAGATAATTGTTGAATAAAAGCATTGTGTAATACTTTTACATGGAGTTTAGAATGTTCCTAATTAAACATTCTGAGAGTATAAAGCCCTATTGTCAACTGTAATGTGATCATAATCAAACTTTTTACCTAAAGTGTCACATTTGTCCCGTGCTCGACAGATGTCCTGCCTAAAAAAGAAAAGAAGAAAACAGGACTAGTTTAAGCAGTACTTACATACACAATTGATCTTACATTTGTGTATATGTTGTCCACATTATTGTCTACTTTCTGCTCTTGTGGCCTTGAAAAGTCAAACTTTTATTTAGCTTTCATCGCCTACACAAAGTATAAAGTTTCAGTGTTCAGTGAACGGCTCTAAATACATGTGGAGGGAGGACACATAACATCAACCATCTTTATCTATGCTAAGTATTCTACAACACAAGTGAGCAATAAAAAGGGGTAAGAAAGCATATGAATATTTCTCACCTTGTGATTAAGATGGCGGTGTCGTGATGTGAGGGATGGTTGTCATCAGGGTGATTTTGACTTTGCTGCCATATGCAGAAGTTTTTCAAAGTGGCTTGTGCATTGAAGGAGATAGTGGGTCCATCCTACAGGGGAATAGAGACAGATGTTACTGAAATATACATTTAGCCTTGTGGAAACGATTAGGGCTCGACTGTAAAGAACTGCTTAAGCACATTTAAAAGAGCTGTTAATTAAGACACTTCCTTTAAACCACACAAAGGGAACTCTTACCAGCTCATTCTTTATAATGACCAGCTTCACAATAACAATGTTAATCAGGTTTCCAATGCTGGGGTCCTTATAGATGGAGGAAACCTGAGCAAAGGAATACAGACAATTGGAATTCATTATCAAAGGATCTAATTACTTTACAACAGGGGCCTCAAACTGTCAGCCTGAGAGATTTAGCTTTCAACAGTTTATCCTTACATCTGACCATTTTTGGCCCTTAATTGTATCCCATGGTACGGTTTCACAGCATGTTGTTATATATTGTAGTATACTTTTCAAAAGTTTGGGGTGAGTGTGAAATTATTTATTTTATTCCGCCCGGATGCATTAAACTGAACAAAAAAGCACTTACATTGCTGAAGAAGTACTGAGTGGTTATGGCTAGTGAAACTAAGCTGGATTGTTTTTAAACATTTGTAATTATGATAAGCGTTCCTTGAGTAGCAAATCAGCATATTAAAACAAATGCCAGAGGATTAGGTTACACCAAAGACTGGATGAAGCTAAAGTTTGCTGAAATCTTTGAATATATTGAAATAAAAATGACTTATAAACAATGTAGTTGTAAATTGTAATAGTATTCAACGATTTTATAGTTTTAATCAAAGAAATGCAGCCTTGATGAGAATAACTGATTTCAAAAACATAAAAAAAAATTATTTGGTTAAACGTTAACCAAAAGAGAACATTGCTTCATTTGTGTGATTCTCTCATCTGAGACCGTTGCAACTCAGGCTCATTCTGAAAACGTACCGCTACACATTTGTGTATTGTTGTATTTGTATTTTTGTATTGTATTTTTGACAAAAACATCCCAGGAGCTACTAAGTTTATTTTTTTTCTTTTTTTTCGCGAATCCACCAGAGGCCACTGTGTATGCTTTTTTAGATCTCAAATTTTTCTCTCGAGTGCCATTCGTGCCTGCTGTTCTCTGGTAAATTCACCAGAGGCCACTGTCAACTGACTGTCAACTGACTGTTAATTGACAGACTGACTGACTGACTGACTGACTGACTGGCCGACAGACTAACCTACCCCTAACCTGCCCTCCTCCACAGATTAGCTTTTGTTTTTGTCTTACCTGCTTTCTGGAATTGTTCTTCATCAAGCCGCCTTTCCACTGCAGATGACATTTGGACACAACTGTCAGAATATGCCTCCTTGTGGCAGTAGCACAAGATTTTCAGTGTTGTCGTGAACCATGGGAGAGAAGCTGATTCTCGTGGTGTCCGAAATAGCAAAAAGAGCATTTATTCTCTGTGTTCACCGTGTTTGAATGAATGAATGAATGAATGAATACTAGAAACTCAGAGCACTAAAAAATTTGGAGGGAATGTGGAGACAACATAAAAAAATTATAACTCATTTATGAATAGATTTTTTTTTAAATAAAAAAAGATTTTCAGATTAAAAAAAATAAAAAATCCTATTTCTCATCTCGTGCGCACGGACCTGCTTGGACAACACTGGAATACATCACATCCAGTCGACCGGTCCCATATGGTCTAGTTGCAGGAGTTCAATTGTTTCAACGTATCCGCAACTCAAATCGGATCAGAATTTTCCACATACAGAGATTACCGGAAATCCAAGCAGCTCCTGGACTACTCGCCATTAGAAATGAATGACTTTCAGTCAATTCACTCAAAGCTTTAGACTTGAACCCTGTCATCGTGGTCAACTCCTCTCTTCATCTCAAGTCCGCTGATGTACATGGCGAGCTAACTGGACAAACTGGTGACAGCAGGAATGCCGTTCATAAGGAGGTAAGCGGTCAGCTTTTAAGCACAAACAAGAACAGAATCATATATCGTTTGTTTATGTACTTCTGGCTACATAATTTACAATCTCCAGAAATGTATATAGGGCTATGTTTTCAGAATAAGCCTATGTTGGACCCATGCTTTACAATAAAGTGTATTATGTGTAAATTTGTGTATCTTAACTGTAACTGAAAGGACAGCAACATGTACAGTCCAGTTCTGGCAGAGCAGTTTTTACATTGCAGCCTCAAAAAAGCTGGCATTTTTCTCATTCACTAACTCCAATACACACAAACCTCTTTGATTTATCTTATTAAGTAGGGTTGAACACGCGACATTAACCTCAGCTGTTGAAAAAATGTTTCTTGGCCATTGAGAACTGGCCTGCGCTGCCAGATCCTGCTGAGAATGCAGCCTTTGCCAAGATCAAAATATAGGTCATCGAAGCTCCCAGCGAGTTTCAACTAAAAAGCATCTAAAGTATGCCGTGCATGCGACATACCTGATTTTATTTGTTTTATACTGATGTGCATCAAACCCTGTCAGAAATATTCACTTCACAACCTGACCTAAAGCAACGGACACAGACCCATTAAGACTATCGTTAACTGGCCGTAACTTACGATGGACATCAGGGTAAGAATGTAGTGCTGAAGGTTGCTTCCATGATGTTCCACCATCTTGCTGTCTGCCACAACCATGACTTCAACAAAACGGGGGTAGGAGAGGAAACGCTTTGATCTCCGGTGTGGCTTGGAGTCACTGCTTTCATTAGCGGAGTTGTGCTTGTTTTCTGAGAAGGGGAAGAGTCTGGAATTAAGAGTCTCCAGGTCGGACAGCATGCTGGAGGGCGACTTTCTCTTCAGTCTGTTCCTGTGTCTGCGGTTTGGCTCTGTATGTCCTGCAGATGAAGAAGAGAACAATGCATTTAAATGAATTTAAGTTATTTTATTACAAGAAAGTCAAATTTAGCCATGAGGGCTACTGCTTCCTTTATTATATGTCACAAGTTCACATCCAATGGTAACCATGGATGAATGTATTCATGATCATGTGTTCAGCTATGTAAAGAAATAAGAGACCACTTGAAAATGTTAAGTTTCTCTCTATTTACTTGATTTATTAGGTATGTGTCCGAGCAAATTGTTAATATTTGAGGTCACACTTTAATTTGATGGTCCGTTTGTTTATTTTAAGTTACATAGCGTCTACATTCCAACTAATTCTCATTAGATTATAAGTAGACTGTTAGTTTAGGGTTAGGGTTAGGGCTAGGGTTAGTGTAAGCTGACAGATAAAATGTCTGCTTAGCAGCAGTATCAACAGATATTAAGCAGACAGTCTTCTAACACTCAAATGGACCATCAAAATAAAATGTTACCTTATTTGTTTATTCCAAGCTTTTCTTCCATATTTTAAATACAAATTCGTCACTGGCCTCTTTTTTGGCAAGAAAATTGAAATTTGTCAAAATAACAAATATCTTTGGTGATCAAAACTCATATTTTTGCTCTAAATGACAACATTGAGCATTACGCCCAATTTACACGAGGTGTCAGCGTTAAAGCTTCTCTATGAATTTTACTTTGAATGGGTGACGTCAAGGGTTGCCGAACTGAAATGTGGATCCGACTGCGATGCTTCAGTGACATTGCTCGCTGCAGAAGTTGGGGATTTCTCAACTACTAAAGCGCCAAAGGAAGCTTAGGGCAATCAGATCTCTTTATGCAAATATTCTTGCTCAGACAGAAGCCGATTGCGGACTAATTTTATTAGCTGACACTGCTATGATGATCGCGTCAGCCCCAACTTCAGACACACTCGGTCAAGCTTTGACATTAAAGCCCTGTGTGTATGCAATGTTAGTAGCCACTATTTTGTAACAAAGTAGTAAACTATGTTCTATAATAAATTAGTAAACTATTTCTGAAGAATGTAATGTAGCAAATTTTAAAAATGCATGTATTGAATAGCATGTATTTTAAAGGAATTTATTAGGTTTTTCAACCATTCAGCCAATCTCTGGGTCTGGTGGGAGCACTTATTGTATTGATCATTGAATCAGATTATACCATTAGCATTTAACTCAAAAATGACCAAAGGGTTTCAAGCTATAGTCTCATTCCAGCATAATAATCGGGAAAGTTCGCTGTAGTATCATGGTTGCAGCAGGTACAATGAAATTATGCTGTAAATTTCAACATGACTGTCTGATACAGAGAGAATATATGCTGATTGTGCTGCATAAGTTCACTGTGCCAACCATGGTATGGCAGCAACGTTCCTTGATTATTACATCAGCATGAGAGTATAGCCATATTGGCAAAGAAAATGTAAACTTTTTATTTTCTGCTGGTCTTAATACACAATGTGACTAGAGAAGAGTCAGTTTTAATCTTTTTTGTTTTAAGCAAGATGCAAATGGTCTAATCCAATTTAATAATTTATGCTAAGCTAAGCTAAAGCTCTCCCGCCAGAACTGGAAATAGTTTGATTAGGTTAAAAAACAGTAAAACTCAAGTGTTTAACTTTAGGGGAGTTGTAAAAATTAGTCAATGCTCCTTTAAATTAAACTTTGCAGTCTGACCTAAAGGTTAAATCCAGACGCAAGTGTTAAGTGTTAGTTTTCAGCTAACGCTTTTAGCTTAGTTTTATGGCAAAATAAAAGCAATAACAGGACACTCTAAACTCTCCTGAGCTTAAAATAGGACACAAATGCAACACAACCCCTACCTTCTACTCAATATTAAACAATAGATATTGATTTTGTACATAAATTGCTGAGAAAAGTGCTTTGTGAGAAAAGTGTGCCAGGTATCGACACAAATCCTGTTTTTATCGAAATGAACAAAAAGCAGGCCACAATGGAGCTTGCTTCCAATAAAAAATGAAGTCTAAAAAAAGTTCTCCTCCCAGCACTTTTTTGGGGCCAAACAGTTCACTTAAAAAACACAATACATTTTAAAACAAAGCTGCCGTTGACTGTTATTGATATACACCAGTGTGCATTAGCCCAATCCACATTTATTTTTGTTACATTGAATTTCCAAACACTTCAAACTGGCATTGCTTTACTTCAATGCAGTTCCCCACGTGGCTTTCATGGTATTGGGCCTCTTGAGTTTCCTTATCTTCAGGCCACAGGAAGTGCAAGAGTCAACAGGATTTTGTGGCAGTAAACTAAGATTGGAATGATACCAAGAACTTCCAAAATGATTTTTCCTGTTCCACTGGTTTTTACTCAATGACATATGAAAATAGAAAAGCAAAGGATGTAAAAGATACCATGAATAGCACTGTGAGTATTTAAATGTCAATGAGAGCAGTCTATTTCTGTGCCTGTAGTGGGGTTGTGCTGCATTCATGTTCATATTTGTATTTAGATATATTAATTATTAACTGTAAAGACTATGATGAATTATTACAACGCGGCATTTAAAAAAAAATCTTTAATATGAAAAGTTACAGTGATGAATGTTCCAGTACCGAATCTAGTAATTAATGTTTATATATATATATATATATATATATATATATGTTTGTCATCCAAAAATGTAAGGTAACACTTTTTAAGGTATGCGTTTTCCTGCTTACCTGAAGTTTCACATGCAGCGGAATCATCTACAGTCTTTTTTGAGGCATCTTTTCTGTACACGACGTGAGGTTTGATGTGTTCTTCTTCATAATGTTCACTATTGTAGCTATGAAGGGGCTCCACAAAAAACTCCCCTTCTGGTGACCTGAAAGTGCCAAGCTAAAACAAACAACAACACTGTTTAAATTGGTCCATGGCCAGTGCAATCTATGGACACATTCTGTGTGTGACTGTAAATTGCCCTTAAAACTTTCCCCCTAAGATTTTATTTACGCACAAATCCTAAGTGGCTGATGGAGTGATAGAGTAAACATACATTGCATGCATATCAGTGCACTGGCCTCTGGGGGGTAATGAACGCAGAATGCAGTTGATAACTATCAGAACATTGTGCTTCACTTACAAAGTATATTGTCTGGAAATGTGAATTTCATAAAACAAGCAAGAAGCATACTTGAAAAAATATTCTACTTATCTTCAAGAAGAAACATGCTGAGCAGTTTTGAGGCTGATTATTATATTAGACTATTGATTGCTCTATATTTTAGACAAATTGTTTGTGTACACCAATTCATAAAAACTGGAAAACTTCATTTTCTTATAAAAAACACTTAAATTCTGCATAAGAACTTCTGTGCAGAATCTTTTTATGACATTCATTCATTTTCCTTTGGCCTATTTATCACCACAGCAGAATGAACTGCCAACTGTTCCAGCATATGTTTTACACAGCAGACCCAGCCTCAATCCAGTACTGGGAAACACCCATACACACTCTCGCATTTTTACACACACTCATACACTATGGCCAATTTTAATTTATTCAATTCACTTATAAACTTATATGTGTTTGGACTGTGGGGGAAACCTGAGCACCCATTGGAAACCCACCTAAACAGAGAGAACATGCAAACTCCACACAGAAATGCCAACTGACCCAGCCAGGATTCGAATCAGCAACCTTCTTGCTGTGAGATCAGCAACCTTCTTGCTGTGAGACGACAGTGCTACCCACTGAGCCACTGTGCGGCTGCTTTTTATGACATCAAAATACCAAATATCATATATTTTTTGCTACAGGCACTGTATGCTAATAAGGATGGTTGATAAGAGGTTATCCGAGCAACCTAAAATTCCTGTTGAAACTCCAAAGAAAAAGAGACAAAATATAGATTTTTTTTTTTTGCTTCACATTTACACTTTCTTTCATTCATTGTTTAATGTTGGTAGCATATTGGAGATTTTAAACCAACACATGGCTGAGCTCTTTGTTACAGTCGTTCATAATGACCGAGAACACACTAGACAGAAAATATGGGATCTTAATTAGAGATACAGATTTGTCCATATTCCAATATTTCTGTGAAAATATACAGCTCTCATGATAGCATACTTTAAAAAAATTAACTCCTAAAGGTCAAAGAATTGGGGGTTTGGTTGAAAAGACAAAAGGCTTATAGGACATATATTAAGTTTTATATAGATACTTAACAATATAAGTTTAGATTCACAATCCTGTCAAGCACAATCCAGTCAAAACAATTCCCATTCATGTTAATGACTGAAACTATGCATTTTGCATGCCAGGCCAGTATTTGGCAATGTCATGTTGTAAATGTTGTAAATAAACACTGGTCCTATGCACTTGCATATAGTCTATGCATTCTTCTGCAGAATAAACATGCTTTAAAACAATGATGTGTTTGTATTTATTACTCTAGGATGACAAGAGCACTTTAAAAACACATTTAGAATGTTTACACTTTCAAAATAATGTGTGTAAATAAAATAAAAGTTTTCAATGCCACTTTATATTAACGAATATAACTAATATGTACTTATACTGAAATTAATAATTTGCTACAATGCACTTATTGTGTAAATACATGTTTTTACATTGTAGTTATGATTTATTAAATACCTACATGTAATTACATCTGTCATTAATTTGTGTAATTAAATTTGTAACTATACTGTTGTGCCAACTATAAAGTGGGACCAGTGTTGTGTAAATGCCCCCCCATATAAACTCAGATAAGATTATCTCCAGGTTATGTATAGCTTCAGCTTTTTAAAGCTCGCCAAAGCATATGCAGCTGAGAAACGTACTATTTCATCAAGCAATCCCTGAATCATGCAACAGCCGTTATCGTGAATAGGGACACATGAAATTACTTGATGTATTTCTAGAACTTTACTAGCCCTTGCCACTTTCTGACTACAGAAGAACCACCAAGTGTAAGTACAGGATTCGAAAGAACCAAAGTAGATCTCATGGCTAATTTTGATTTGTGAGAAAAACATTAAGTTTGGCGCAACATCACGTTCGCATCAACAGATGACATCTGACTCCCAAATATGGAGTCTCCTTTGACGTCAGCTCACTCCTGCTGCTAATGCCTCTGATGAATGTGCGTCACTCAACTCATAGAGCGCTATTTTGAAAGTTTGATGATTTCATGTTTGAGAAAAAACTTTATAAGTGATCCCGATTCGTTTCAAAAACGTTGCCCCGATTAACTTGCACCACCCTTCCATTAAAGCTCGTGCATAATTGTGTAGCCTAATCACGAACGAAAGTTTTTGAGAAGGCTAATTTTGCAAAGTTACCGAATGCGTCCTGCATTGCGTAAATACTGGTCATTGGATTTAGTTAATATCATCATAGAAATATATAATTTAACTTACCAAACCGGAGCAGAGGCTGATTACTGCAGTGTGCTCCTGCCCAGCGTTCACATGTCCTTTATAAAAGCAGTGCTGATACTCCGTGTCCTCCTCCTCCTCCCCCTCCACTGAATTATGACCTTCACTGGATGCTCCGAGTATCGTGACAGTGTAAACTGGCGCAATAAATCCAGACTCGAGAGTAAGGTTAAGGTAATAGTCCTGCCCAAAGGCAGATATTTGATAATAGGCGTGCGGCGAGGTCCAATGATGAGAGATGTTGGCGGTTGTTGGGTCGGTACTCCGCTTTCTCCTCTTGAAGTGCACGCCCGTTGGCAGTTGCTCACCGACTTCGTTCAATCTGGCCGGAGTTACAATCTCATACGCGCCAAACTCCTGTAATTTCGCTGAGGAAGGGAACGGAGATTGAATGGTAAAATTACATATAAGTAGGTCATGAATGTCATTTGCAATGCGATGAACTTTTCCAATGAGTGCTTACACAGCATTTCTAGAGAAAAGCAAAATGGTTCATAAAGACAATTAAATTTTTAAAGGAAGGATTGACAATCTAAAGAACTACAGTAGCCTATTTAGAGCATGAACGTTTTGCATGGATGGCTCTATGTGTAGCCATTAAATGAAGAACTTCTACTTTAAATTGAAAAGACATTATAGGCATGTTTTGGTAACATTTAGAACATTTTTAAGGCAAACCGTGCATAAAACGTCGTATTTTGCGACGCATGGTAATATAAAGATAAATAGAAAGGTAACCGAGTTGACAGTTTTACTGTCATTAAAAGAGAAACGCTAAGTCACAAGTGTTGATATTTCTATAAATATCTGTTTTAGTATCATTGTAACGTGCCTGACAATAAGAGAACGATAAACTAAACAAACTGACAAAAATGGCACTTCGACTTGTCCATAAGGGTTCACTTGAATTAAATCTTCGCTTAAATGGGATTTTATACCACTGACTGTAACAGAATTGATGACTTCAAGTTTTTTTTTAATAATTCATTTTGTCAACTGATATAGCCCATACTGTAAGTAAAAATGTACAAATCCTCATTAAACTGGACTTCATTCTAAGACTCCACATGGTAAATCAGGTGTCAGTCAGACTTCTGAAAGCATTACTCGAAATCTTCGACAGCGCGCTATGAACTGTTAGGAAAGTAAAGGAAAGTCATTCATTCTCCGCGCCTCAAAGTACTGAGTTGAATGAGAGAGTAAACGATCGTGAAAAGAGCACGTACCTTTTTCTGAACCTCGCAGTCTCCCCGTTGAAGCTAGTGCATTCATTAGATCAGAGAGTAATACTAAAAAACTAATTCCCCAGGAGAACAAAACCATGATTGTCCACGTTTAGAAAAAATGAATGCAAGCAAGCCCGAATACAGTATTCCGCTGTCCCTTGAAGCCGGGCTTTCGCCGCACGGTTGCTGCATCCAAAGCGTTTCTCCTCTACTTTACAGAAGTGACTTCCATGTCGCTAAACAAGCGCTCGGTCGGAGCTCTTGGTTTGCATGCATAATACCAGAAAGGGGGTCGATGCAACTGTGGTGGTCTCCAGTTTGCTGATTACTTTAGCCTACTTGGGCGTACTCTTAGAGACACCCCTCTCAGAAAGCCACTCCTGCCATATGTGTCGCTAATGTAGCGTGCAGACTAAACTTTTAAAATCACTGAACATGTTACTCATAATCATCACGCACACGTGCATTATGTTCGTAACTACTTCAGATTGTGCTGTTATGTTTGAACATTCAGTTGGATAAGTTAGATAAGCACACTGCCTCAGTCCAGAGATTATCTAATGTAATAATAACGTAACACGTAATAATACTGTATTAATACAATACTGGTGAAAAGGGCAATTTGGAAATTGGAACACTGACTTTTATCTTTGTCTTAAAAACACAATGTATTACTGCTAAAATCGACTGAGATTCTGAAAACACTTTTTATAATGGAAACATCTTTTAATATTTATGTTATTGTTATTAGATTTTCTTCATATTTTGTGTATGTCCCAATTGTGTACTCAGAAAAGTCTATTTATTTGACGTAGGCTATGTGTTTTTCAGTGACTGATATTAATTAATATTAGTGATAAGTAGGGCCAGACGGAATCTGCTGACATTTTTTTCTATTTCTGCGCAAAATTGTGTTAAAAATCTGCGGATTTATGCAGAATTATTTTGGGAGTATCATAACCAAAACCTTAACATATGAACTAAAAAGTAATACCTTTTTAACTTTGATTTAATGTTTACAATGCAAATCCAGTTAGATCCACTTTATTTGGTAAACAAAGCAAGTCTCTCATATAATATATCTACTAAAAGACAGAAAATAATACTTTACAAACTGTTTTGTAAATAAATCATATAAATATGTTCATATTAGTCAATAATATTACTGTAATTAATTTAAACCTGAATAAATTTACATTTACACACATTTACACAAGTAAATAAACAGAATCAATGTTGGGCTAAAAATCTGCGGATTTCTGTGCGTGCAGATTCCGTGTAGGCCTAAAGGTATACTGACTAACCCATGACAATAAGGGATGAAAGTGGCTGCTTTGGACCCCAAGAAATCAGATTGGGCTTTTTTATATTGTCATCATTTAACCAGAGCCAACGTTAAGTCAGTCAGAAACTTGAGTGACTTAATCATTTATTAAACTGTATGATAGCAATGAACTTTTGTTTATTTATTAACAATTTGCCTAAATTCTGTTCAATCTGCTAGATTCAACTTTATGCAGGTTATACTTATTTATGTGACTCATTTTGATAATTCATATATTCAGTCTTCTTTGCAGTTAGACTTTAATTCAAGAATGGTTTAATAAAAACAAACTTATACTAAATTAATAAAAAGTCTTGTAGTATGGTGTTCTTTAAAAAATCTCAACAGTTTCATTTAGTAGACATAAATATAGGATTTAATGATCAGTCGCAATTGTCTAATGTTGACGATGTTTAATTTCTAGGTCTTTGGCCCGACACTGAACTGTCCTTTAAATCTCATATTGATTTTATAATTAAAAAGTCATATCGGTGTTTAGGTTCTCTTTATCGTTCTATTAATTGTTTTTCATTTCATGTAAGAAAAAATGCTTTCTTAATCAATTTTCCCTATTATTGATTATGCTGATATTATTTTAAAACCTTTAAATACAGTCTTCAATTCTCTATGTAGGTTAAGATGTCTGTATAGAACCCATCATTGTATATTACACGAAACACTTAGTTTGCTTCAACCTAAGTTCCGCAGATAATATCATTGGTATTTGTTTCTTTTTAAGTGTGATTATTTTAGTTTACCCTCTTATTTAGCGGCAACATACGTGGACAGCACATTTTAGCTCTTAAGTGGCTATCCTCTTAAGGCCCAAGGTGTTATTTTACATGCATTTTTTATTTCTCTTTGCTATTTGGGCTTATTGGAGCCTAATTAGAATAAAAATCTAAGTATAATCTTTTGACATGATGTACTTTTAGAGAAAAATGATGTTCATTTATGCGTGATCCAAATTTACATAAAGCACTTTTTCCTGACTGTTTTTTAATGCATATATTACAAATACATTTTTTAAACAAGTTTTGACTATCAGAAAGCAAAAAGGTTGTTTGCCCTTTTTGGAAAGTTAAAAATAGTGTTTGGGACTTCTCATATGCTGTAAACCAGTTGCAGGATGACACTGTATGTCTGTAACAAAATATAAAACATTCAAAGTATGTCAGCAGTTTTTTTTCCATTTACCTCCTCATATTCTTTTTGACACACACAACAGAATTACTGTGGCCGTAGGTCCTTTCAGAACAAAGCTCTTTCTGACTGGAACAATCTTCCTTCTTTTAGTCTTTTCAGGACTTATTATTTTATTTTTTATTTTTGGAAACAACTTGTAAATGTTATTAATATTGGTTCCAATTTAACTTTTGATGATATGTATTTGTTTGCTCAGGCTTTGTGGAAAGTGTTTCAGGTGAAGTGGTACTGTTGTTTGTTTGTTTGTTTGTTTGGTTAGCTGTATGTTTGATATGATGTGATGTGATGTACCCCCTCAAAATGGCATGGTTCTTCTCTAAGAGCCATCCATGCCAATGAAAGGAGCTATCCCTTTCCATAAATTCAAATTCAAACTGAAATGAGTGACTTCTTCTTATTCTTTATAAATGTAGTGCTCTTTGCATTCTTTCTTTGTAAATGTACACATTTATTCATTCAGAATTTGAATTAAAATTGTGTTTTAAATGCTGCAAAGGAGGTGTGTAGAGTCCGTTCTGTGCAATTTCTTAGTAATAGTATTTCATTTATTATAGTAATAATATATTATATTTTGGATTCTTGCAAATGTATTTGATATATTTTTATTAATTATTTATTGGCGACACAGTGGCGCAGTAGGTAGTGCTGTCGCCTCACAGCAAGAAGGTCGCCTCGGCTCAGCTCAGTTGGCGTTTCTGTGTGGAGTTTGCATGTTCTCCCTTCAATCGCATGGCTTTCCTCCGGGTGCTCTAGTTTTCCCACAGTCCAAATATAAGTGGTACAGGTGAATTGGGTAAGCTAAATTGTCTGTAGTGTATGAGTGTGTGTATGAATGAGTGTGTGGAAGCTTCCCAGAGATGGGTTGCGACTGGAAGGGCATCTGCTGCGTAAAAATGTGCTGGATAAGTTGGCGATTCATTCTACTGTGGCGACCCCGGATTAATAAAGGGACTAAGCCGATAAGAAAGAAAATAATTATGTATTATTATTTCTTGACATTTCTTCCATTGAGATCCTAAAAGAAACTTAAATGTAGTCTTGTATGCTGAAATTAAGACTTTTTACTAATATACAAATAAAAAAACAAATGCCCCTTTGGATATTTGATAACTAATTAGGCATTGGCATAGATTAGCTGATTTTTAAAATCTTTTTAACATCTCAGGCTAATAAGCATTGCTTCATAAAGCGAAGGTATTCTCTATTTACAGTTACATTACCTTCTCTAAAGTGACTATAAATGTGGTGCTTCATGGGATTCATTGGGTTACAGATTTGGACAAAGCAAAGTACAAACAGTTTTCCATTACAGGTTTAGATGAAAGGAGTTGGAGATTCTATCTGCACTCTAGGATTTCCTGGAGTGAATATGGATTTTACTGTGCACCAGCTGTACGGCTCCTCAATGGAAAGCATGAATGAGGGAGAGAGAGAGCTTGACTGTAGTGTGTTGGGTTTGCAATCTTGTATCATCGGTGACCTCAAGTCACTGTAAACTTCACTTCCTCTTGGCTTTGATGAGACGATAAGAACTAGAAAGCTTGAATGGATGCTGAAAGTTGCCTTGAGTGTTCAAAGAAGGTTCAAGATCAGTCACTCAAAGTCTCTGAAA